TGGGAAGTCTTCTAACAAAAAGAATATCTCGTTACATCAGCCTTTAAACTAATTCAGAATTATAAATGTAGTGATATGCAAGGATTTTAAAGGCAATGAAAAAGTGTTTTGAACCAGTGTTTGGCAGTCGGTCAGAAACTGAAGTCATCTTTGCGTCAAGATATAAATTGAGAAACGTAGTTATTGTTTAATGAAGAACGTAAATAGTCACAAATATTGTAGAAGAGGAGTGTATAATATAAAGTTTCAAGGTAAGCTCACAATCATTGATTACATAACGGGATAGTTAAAAGAATGCTTACTTCACTTACATTTTTTGGCAGGGCCAAACTTGGCACTGACCTTAATATAGTTGTGTTGTGACGGTTTTAATAAAGAGATTGTATTCCACTTACATGTGATTGTAGAATAAAAATTACTGAAGACGTCATAAGTTCAGTTTCTGCTTCCTTAAGAAATAGGAAACCAAATGCCATCTACGTAGTAAAACAGAGTTTTCGTTTTACCAAATTTAAAGAGAAATGTCCAACACCCTTGGCAAAAGTAGGCTCAGTTGTTGAAATTTTAATCTTAGAAGACCTTTGCTGTGATAGGGAATATTTACTGTAGATGAAAAGACTGACATCTTAAAGTTAAAGGTCTTGAATCTCAGAACGAAAACTAAGATAAGACACAGAGCATCTCAGTCCAAAATATTAAATTACGACTTTAAACTTGCACATGCTAAATGAATCGCATCAATTATGTATGTGGAGTAGCACTAATTTTCAATAGACGAAGTTTATCAGTCAGTCCTAATTAATAAATAATGTGATAGAGAAATTTGAGATTACTTCGCTTAAAATAACTACTCCAGCACTGTCACTGTTTACACCATTTTTTTTATTGCTAGTGGGGTGGGACTAAGTCCCTTGTTCTGCGGTCACTTCTGGCCTATTGTACCAGCCCCAGATGATAGGTGAGGGTGATTGTGNATATATGAGGATACGTCATACCTTGATTATGCAAGTACATGGAAGAAATATTCTATATGCTCAACTAGATCTCTGGTACGACGAATTTGGTCTCCGTCGTACACTGAAAATAGAATCTAGAACGTTTCTAACGATAGTGTAACGATCTAAGTCACCATCTGAAGGCGTACCCTCGAAGATACTTCAGATGCAGTATAAGAGAATTATCAGAATTCATTAATTATAATTGTTCTGATTAGTAGTACTGCTTAGAATTTTAAAGTGTTTCATGCTTTTTTTCGAGAGAGTTCAGTGCTAAAGTGAAACCACTTCTTGGGTGATGCTCAGATCTTCCAAATTACCTTATTCCTTCGGGGATTTTGACAACAAACTGAATGCATTTCTCTGCTCTCCTATGTGCCGCACTTGTCCCTCAGGAACAGTCAACAGGGGCCGCGCCATAGCTTAAGCGGTTAGCCGCTGGCTTCCCACTGCGGCGGCCAGGGTTCAATCCCGGGTCTGGCCAAGTGGGATTTGTGGTGGACAAAGTGGCGCTGGGGCAGGTTTTCTCCGAGTACTGCGGTTTCCCCTGCCAATCTTCATTCCACCAATTGCTCCACAATCACCCTCACCTATCATCTGGGGCTGGTACAATAGGCCAGAAGTGGCCGCAGTACAAGGGACTTAGTCCCACCCCACTAGCATTTAAAACAGTCAACAGCGCCACCAGCTGAGCAGACCTGCTCGTTCCGGCTCTTTATATGCAAAGGAGGAATGCATATAGGATTTTGGTGGGAAATCCAGAAGGAAAGAGACCATCAGGGAGACCTAGACCTAGGTGCGACCATTATTTCTTTTTATTATTTTTAGTGGGGTGAGACTGCATCCACTTGCTACTGCCACATATGATATATGATGGTGATTGTGGAGTAATTGGTGGAACAAAGATTGGCAGGGGAAACCGAAGTACTCGGAGAAAACCTGCCCCAGTGCCACTTTGTTCATCACAAATCCCACATGATCTGACCGGGGCTCGAACCCGGCCGTCGCGTTGGGAAGCCAGCGACTAACCGCCCGAGCTATGGCGCGGCATTAGGGGCAACGGTAGTATTAAAATTACATTAGAAAAACAGGATGGAGTGATATGGATTGGATTCTTCTGGCTCAGGATAGGGACCAGTGGAGGGCTCTTGTTAACACGGCGATGAATCTTCGGGTTGCATAAAATGTCGGGAAATTCTTGAGAAGCTGAGTGACTGGCAGCTTCTCAAGGAGCACTAAGCTCTATGGAGTTAACTGGTTAATTGGTTTGTTATTTGGTGTCTTTTGTGTATAGGATGACATAACAAATTCTAAGGGCATGAAGAACTTTAGAACTTCAGAAACTTAATAACGCAACAGACGTGAAAGCGAATAGTCGTGATCCATTTCTATGAAACCTCTAGCCGTGCCCTGGAGGCAGTGTGGCAGACTACAAAAATAGCCGGTTTTCAAGGCCGATATTCAAACCCGGTATCCCCCAAGTAGAAATGATTACGATGCCGCAGAGTTCAGTTTCAGTGCTGTCAGTGAAAGACAACTGGTTATACGAAACGCAGGCAGGGGAGGCAAGGTAAGCCTCCAACCTGCCTAGGAACAGAGCCTGAATGCAACACTGGTTTGAAGTGCAGCCGTACATTTGTCAAGCCGAACAAAACGACTGGTTCTGAAGCAAGTCTTTGTAACATCCTGGTAGGGTCACATACCTGACCGGTTTATCTACTCTCAATACCAAAGAAGACGGGAGATCACGGACAGAACTCATAAAGCCTACTTTACTACTGCACAGCCTTCCAGTCCTAAAATCTTGTTAATGTTGCCATATAAAGTAACAATAAAATCAATCCAGGGGTCAGCGTGATGGATTCCTGCGAAAATGACGACAGGATCGAATCCTTGTAGAGAAGGCATGTCAAACTCAACTTGTACAGAGGGCCACCTCAGCCCTATAAATAATAGTCCAGGGCCGCACTTCAAAATAGAAATATACATTAGATTTTGATACAAGGAAATTTAATTCTATTTATTATTTAGGAATAATTTCAATATAATTACCTAAAGTCACATAACTTACAGTTTTAAAAAGCAAGAGAATGCCATTTTTGACAAGTACCAAACAGGTTTTCGATATGTAAAAAGGGAGATTACACAAGAAATTATGTTAGAAATAGCAAAACATTGAATTTCCTGCAGCCTGCTAATTTATGTTTGCGTGAGACTTCTTGTCTTCTGGTCTGTTGGAAAATTGTCTTCACAAAAAATATTTCTACTAAAATTTTAATATTGAGTTTAATATCAATTAGCTCTAAAAGTTGAGGGGCCGCACTTTGTGGCTATGGGGGCCGTATGCGGCCCGCGGGCCGCATATTTGACACGGCTGTTGTAGAGTAACAACGCTCTGATATTTATAATTATATATACACTGATGTCATCATTTTCGCTATTTGTGTCTCTGGAAGAATTTATTGGGCAGGGCTACACATTCTTTCTGCGTTAAAAGGGTTGAATATGGGCTGTAACTTCAAAGATCCACACCGTCCTCATTTCTTTAATTGTTGACTTGTTGTGAACAAATTTATGCACAAATTTGAAGGAATATCATAAAGTGTCCACATGAAGATTCTTGTTCCATGCTCCAGTGTTCCATTAGAGGCTGCTAAATTTAAAGGTAAATGTATTTTTTCGTACAACGGGAATCTTACTAAGATCTTAAAGTTTGTAAGGCTGATACAGTAGAATGAATATTATGTTTCTGGGCGTTATCCATCGTCCTATCTTTACCTAGAAACATGATGGAGCTTTTAGATAAAGACAGGACGATAGATAATTTTCAGAAACATGAATCTTACTGCTTTACATTACAAAACATACCTTAACAGAAGTTCCACACCTTTCAGAGCTCTACGGCTAAATCATTTATGATTGCGCTCCCGTCACAAATCCATGGGTCCACTAATTTTATGACATTGTATGATAAAATTGTGCATACTTACAAGAGACAAATTACAGGGAGTGGCGATCGTGTGTTATGCGAGCTACAGGTCCCACTGACCCAGTTGTAGCAACTGGTAAGGGCCCCTTCCGAGTGTTACGTGGCAAGTCGACAGGACTCGTTGGCCATGATAGGCAACCTGTCTAAGGGAAGGACATCCTGAATAAAAACCCTGGTCCTCCGAGATAGGGGGTTTTGCGACAGGCTAGTAACCTGCTCAAGTAAAAATGTATTCATGTTCATCAAAGATGCTCCATATTTTGTGAGCAGAATGGGTTAACGTGATGATATGTTTTAGGATGACTTCCAATAGCATAATGATCATGCTACATTTTACAAAAATCTGTCAACTGGTTCAAACTTTGAAATTGTGAGGGGCAATCGCAGACACCATTGTGATGTCATAAGTATATTTTCCACCCAAGAAAGAAAACTAGGCTACAAAACGGTTATATCCCTAAATATCTGTTTGAAACTCTAAGAAGATTAGCGTGAAAACCCTCTCCAAGCTCTCGTTGTTTCCTCAAAATATATCTGCACGCATCAGCTCTGAAACTTGCTGGAAATACGAGTAAAACCTCAGAACTGTGTCCAGTAAGCCATCTATATCCTATCTTTAGATAAAAGAGTTTACAGAGTTCTGTGCCTACCACTGGCCGCGGACTAAGGCATGAAATGTCTTCGCCTGCTCAAACACCGCGATCTTTGAGTTCGAATCCCTCTCGAAGCATGTATATCTGTCCGCGTTTCTCCTGTGTTTGTGTTGTTCTATGTTGCGATAGGGCCGATCCCCCGTCTAAAGAGTGTTGTCAGCTGTCTATAAGATCCATATTTCCAGATTTATTCTGAAGAGAAACAGACCAGAGGGCCTAATACATTAAGGTAGAAGATGATTTCTGTGTGGTCAATGTCGGACTATGAACGGCAGTGGTGTCGAGGAGATAAAGAGAATGAAGTATGAATCTGGAATCCAGCCTGTTCGGAATTCAGAGACAAGATATGTTCTCTGTTTGCAGGTGTCAACAAACAACATGCCACTGGCCCTCTCTCTTGTACGAGTGTTCTTGCTGACAATGACTGTAGCAGCCTCACCGCTTGGGCGGCTGCAACTTTGCGGCAGCGAGCTGGCGAATAAACTGGCAGAAATCTGCTCTGTTCAGGGTTACAACGACCCCTTCAGAAACAGCATGTACTATGGTGAGTGTAAGAGTTGCATGACGGTGGTGTACAGCCCTGCCAAGCAGGGGTGTATGGGAAAAATCTCATTTCCCGAAAGCAGCAGATCACATTGGTTATCCCCGTGGGTGTCATAAGATTTCTTTTTTCAGTTTCAGAATCTTACCATTTCCAATCTGCCGTGACATATATCAGGCGGTCAGACACTGAATTTTCACCGAGGGCTCTGTGTTCATTCCATGATTGACTTCTTGTAATAATTATGGTGAAGGTTGTGGTACTGGAGCAGTCTTTTTCTGTGTTCCTTCGGATTTCCCCAGCTAATCACCATTCCACCATAATTCCAAATGCGTCTATCACCGTCCTTGGAGGTGTGTAATAGTCCTAACCAGGCAGGGCATCATCTCATCTTCGGTTATGATGTTAGGGGCTTCATTTCTGACCAGCACTGGACTGGTTACAAACAGTAAAAGTTTATTTTATTTTAACTCAATGGACTCATCAGCCTAGCAATGGATACCCCCCCCCACCACACACCACTATTATGTTAGGTAGCGAGAATTAATTAACGAAGACGTGTAAGTAGTTCCACAATTAACCTCGACACCAGGTGGAGATGAGTTGTGAGCTCGACCTTGCCACTTAACCTCGAGGAAACAGCCCCCAGTACCCAGGGTGGGCCCCAGAGCTAGGCCGGAAGTTACAGAAAAGAGACGAAGCTGTTGCCCCTACCGGAAATGGAACCCTAATATTTCGGTTGTCCAGTCCCTATTCTAGTTGCTATAGAAACTGAGTTATCCTGGTGCCTTGTGCTAAACAGCATAAAATTAAAATTTATTCCACGGACTGGAGTCTTTCTTGAGAAGCTAATAGCTGCTCAGAGAGTCACGGATAGTATGATGGTCTGTGCAGGAGTTTCTGATTCCGTTCTTATTGACTCCCACTTCGTCCCTTTCAGGTCCATCGACGTTATCGTTCGAGCCAGGTAACATGGCCGCTCACTATCAGACGGCATATAAAACTGTAAACTCCGTGGCCTGTAGTCCGCAAGCGAAATATACCGACGAGCGACCGCCGCTTGTCGGAGCGAAGTTAGTGCCAATTTTGGCCGCGCCATAGCTCAAGCGGTTAGTCACTGGCTTCCCACCGCGGCGGCCCGGGTTCAAACCCGGGTCTGGTCAAGTGGGATTTGTGGTGGACAAAGTGGCGCTGGGGCAGGTTACCCTGCGAATCTTCATTCCACCAAATTCTCCATCATCATAATCACCCGGGGAAGGCTACAATAGGCCAATCAGTGGCCGCCGTGCCGAGTGGATCCAGTTGGACTCCACCTCATACTAAGCGAATTTAAAAAAAAATTAGTGCCAACTTTTGCGAATAGAGGGTGTCACAACGGATCCCCACGCCGTTAATCTCGGTTTTCTGGACCGGAACCGTTATTTCCTTGAAATAGCTCCTCATTTATCGCCATGAGGCTGAGTGGGCCCCGTTCCAGACCCATTACTTCTCAGAAAATCTGGTAGCACCGGGAAACGAACCCGGGATCTCTGGATCTGTAGCCAGGAACTCTGACCACTAGACCACAGGGGCGAGCGTTTAAAACTGTAATGCTGAGGTAATTTACATAGCCCGTTACAGAGACAAGGGAACCAAAATTGGAATATGAATGGATAAAACAGCCAAGGTGTTAAAATAAAGTTTAAAATTATACCTCCACGTCATCACACACCATACATAACCTTGTACACATAGGTGTAAACATATATGACGTCACATGGTCGCGAGACACGAGAGGTCATTGGCATGGTAATCACGTGGCTAATGTAAACAAATGACGCCATACGGTAACGTGGTAAACATAATGTAAACAAACATTACATCATCCTACCCTCCTCACGTGCAAGTGGGTAATTACTTCGTCACAAAACACGGAAGGGATGGGAGTCGAATACGGACGGAACGAAAACCTCCTATGCAGACGATCATGCTACTGCGCGGAAATACCCCGCGTCTTACGGAACTCTAATCCGTGGCTTGAGTAACATTTCTTAACACGTTACTCTGTTTTACAGCGAGGAGCCGTAAGCCTCCCACTCAACCCCCAAGCTGGAGGACTCCACTTTACTGGTTCTCGGAGGCTGCTTATCAAATATTGAGAGTTATGCTCCACATCTGGAGGCGGCCTTCTCCACATAAAATATTATTGGCCAGACTAGCTCTGGCACCCACCCAGCCTTCCATCCAATGGGTACAGGGATCTGGGTCTCCAATTTCCTCAAAATTTCCTACACAGGCCAACATCCCTTCTAATCAGACATCCATCTTGGTTATCATCTCTCGTTGGTTGGCCTCGGTCCTGGCTTCGTGGATAACCACCCGGGAGACGACAGTACCTAGAAGGACCTGAAGGGTCTACATGCCATAATGCTAATTAGACTGGTCGATGTTTTGTGGTTCTCCTAGGTTAATCTTTAGGGGAATCCCTTCTAAACGAGTTCTGATTCCAGTGTACATTCTTTCCAAGCCATAAACTTGTTGACGCAGAAGAAGTTAAGCAAAAGTTTAAAGTTTTGTATTCTCTGTAACATTTGCATACTTCATTTGAGTTGATGTTCATTTATTGCAGACGCAAATATACGAGTGGTATTGCTTTCTACAGACGGGCACATTGCCTACAGCCAACGAATATTTTTCCTTTTATTTCGTTAAACGTACACCATACTGAAATATATTTTGAATAAAATTTGTAAGTACACCTCTCTTGGAAAAATCGATAATTTCAATTTGAACTCTGTGGCAGCTACGTTTGCCTGATAGAAACTAAGATTGAATTATTTTGACAAATTTTAGTGATCGCCAATTCAATATAATTCCATGGCGTCATTTCCGATGTTAAGTTTGCTGAAGAAAGGACAGACACGCTTGTGTTCATTTCATGAACTTTATGCAAGAAGTGCATTCTGAACTAAGAAACAAATAACTTCTACAAGTTTCAAGCCCACATACCAGACTATACGATGCCCTAATACAGGATACCACAATATGAAACTTCTCCGACGTAAAAATTTCAAATCTTAAGGCGCGTCCACATTTCTCGTGCTCGTGCTCGTGCTCGTGCTCGTGCTCGCCAGGCTTGTGCTCGTCGGGAGAATCGTCTGGCTTTTATTTGTGCTCGTAAATCTTCATCCACACTACTTCAGTTGCTCGCCAGGCTTCGGCGCGTGAGGATCCGTATATTTACTTGTAGTGTGTATAGGCTGTAGTCGTATTTTAATTTATTGGCTATAGTTTTTAAATTAAAAATTAAAAATTTGCTGGTCTCGTGACTTGTCATATCGTCCACATTACTCGCGAGCATAGCGAGTCACACGAGCACGAGCATGTGCACGAGCACGAGTAATGTGGACGCGCCTTTACATTTTGTACGGTTTTCTTGATTTCATAAAAAGCAGTCTTCCCTATAGTTGGGTCATTTCTTTTAGCCACTCAAGGTCATCACCCTTTCACTTGACCCATCCCTTTCTCTTCTCCTTACGACTCTACCTGAAGCGAGGTAGCGAGGGGTAGTCATACAGATTAGTATTGTGAAGTGTTGGAATGACCCTGGTCGAGAGGAAGGAGAATCGACCCTTTTTTTTTTTGGAGCCTACATTAATATCATCCGGAAACGCAGCCAGAAATTTCAGTATAAGATATAGTACTATTCTATATAGCTTAATTTTAATGTCATTGTCATGAATTTTCCTTTCGTACAGAAATATCGCCCTTAGACAATGGCGTCCCACTGATGACACGGTCAAAGAGGGGCGTAGCTGACGAGTGCTGCAAGACTGGTTGCTCGTGGGACACCTTAGAGCTCTACTGCAACCCGCCTCTCCCAACTGCGCAGAGGTAGCTTTCTGGCACCATATACTCGTACACAACGTCAAACATGCGCACATAAACTGAACGCAGCCACACCATTTTACGAGTATATTAAATCAACACGAAGCCACTTGGATGTAAGGCACGAACATTAAATGCTTCTATTTTATAATTTGTGAATAGTCTACATATCCAATGCTGCTTATTTTGAATGCAGTCCTTAAAGTAGCACAGGCTATCCACATCGTCCCCCCCCCCATTTTGGAATTCTGAATAATTGTATCGTCTTCACTCTTTGCATCCTGTTGTGTGTCGTATCATGATCGGTGGTATTTGGCCGCCAACAAAACAATAAAAATAAACCAATCGAACTGCTCACATTGGTATTACTTGATAGTTGCTACATGTTTCGGTCCACATTTGGGACAATCTTCAGGCAGTCTCATCAAATACGTCTCTAGTCATTGAACTGTACTAATATGGATCCATATTAGTGCTACTCGTCACAGTCATATAATACATGCAACCGCCATGAAGTTGAAAGAATTTTTTAGTTTTACAATTTTCAAATATTTAAAATTCTCTTGTCGATGGCTGTCTCTGTGGTCTAGTGGTCAGATTTCCTGGCTACTGATCCTGAGGTCCCGGGTTTGATTCCCGGCGCTACCAGATTTTCTGAGGAGTACTGTGTCTGGATCGGGGTCCACTAAGCTTCTTGAGGATAACTGACGAGCTATTTCAAGGAAATAGCGGCTCCGGTCTAGAAAACCGAAAAATTAACGGCCGTGGGGATTCGTTGCGATCACGCGACACCCTCTATCCGCTAAAGTTGACACTAACTTCGCCGACAAGCGGCGGTCTCTCGGTCGGTATACTTCGCTTGCGAACTCAAGCCGCGGAGTTTTTTTTTGTCGCTGAATGTAAAATTCTGTGTTTTTCTTTTTGTTTTTATCCCGCATTGTAGGTTGTCCTTCGCCCGGGGTCCGCTGTTATAGAAACTGTTCGTGATAATGCTATTTGTTTTTAGCTTGTTCCCCCTTATCTTCTTGGGTGTGTCGCCGCAATTATGTTTTTTGTCCTTAGGGTGTGCTGTGTATTCCTTTTGTGTGGGCGTTTATGTACTATCTGTTTCTGATTACAACGTGAACTTTTATCGTATACATCGTTATGAAAGCCCACACGGCTCTCCACATTTTTCTGAGAACTCTTTAAGAGGAAGACAGATGTTGCTTGTGTGCGTTCAGTTTGTATGTACTGTGTAAAGAACGTATAAGATGCATAAATTTTTAATTATGCTATGTCTTAATGTAACAACACGGAGTTTTAGAACATAAGAAAACGAGATTTTGTGTTAGATTTGAGGTTCTTACGGCGGCAATTACAAACAATCACAAATAAGCACGAAAATAATCAGAACTGAATAACATACAAACATAAACATACAGGAACACTGTTTCCTGGGATGTTAAGATGTGTAAGTCTGGCAGAAGTGTACAGACTAGCATTCCTGATTGTTGCTTCTTGCTTCCTTTCACTTACTCTTAGGTAGGCCGCACACCGGCATGCGTCAAGACACGATGTCTGCGACATGACTCAAAGAAAGGATCGCAGTTGAAACGAAGGGGATTATGAAAACCGCCGCACACCGGTCTGAGTCATGATGCTGACGTCAGCTTCATGCTGTAGACACGTGCAGCAAGAGTCGGCATGTTCCTTTTCTGTGAGTCAGGACTCAGACATCAGTACTCAAGGATAAGCACCAGTGTACGTTATCGACATGACGTCATGTCATCAACTAGAGAAGATGTGATAAGGCGCAGACACGTGCTACGAGTACTTCGGTGTGCGGACTCGAGTCTGAATCACGAATGAGCAAGACTGTCTTTTGTCTCATGTCTTGATGCTTGTCTTGACGCAATTAGTGTGCGGCCGCCCTTAGACCCTAAGGAGCCGGGATAGCGCAGTCAGTATAGCGACTGGCTACGGGCTGGACGACTGAGGGGTCTGAGTTTGAGTCCCGGCAGGGTCAAGAATTTTCTCTTCTCCACGTAGTCCAGGGCGGTTCTGGAGAACACCCAGCCTCCTATACAATGGGAACCGGGGGCTCTTTCCCCGGGGATAAAACGGTAGGGGCGTGAAGCTGACCACTCACCTCCAGCTAGTGCCGAGGTCAAGAAAATGTGGATCTATACATTCACTCCCCTATATGCCTTAATGGCGTAGTGCTTAATTAGTTAAGCACAGGGAAGAAATTTAACTTTTACTCTTAGACTTTAATATGGAGACAGTATGTTGCTCCGAAACATCCATATGTTTCTACCATAGTTTAATGTATCATATCATACCTCAAGTGATTTCTTTGGCAGTTCTGGACATAACTGCTGATATTTAATCTAGAAACCTTGTTTAAATTTCTCACTGCGTCTAATGAGACAATACAACAAGTTTCCTCTTGAACTGAATTGACAGATTAGTAAAATAATAAAAAAAACTCAAGTAAGTATTCAATTTTTCAGACCTCATAATCTGCAAGAAGCAGAAGACCATTCCATGAACCACATCCCACTAGACGACTCGACAGGATCTGAAGCGCGACCACCGGCTAAATCGAGAGCGCAGAAGAACGACCTCGTCAGTAAGGTCAGAAGTCATCACGACAAAAAGGGTCGGCGGGGAAATAACAGATGTCGTTGTCGGCGGCGACGCCGGCGTGGAAAGGTGGCTAATTTGCTGCATGTTCTGTCTAATTATTGCCCGCTTATCTTTGCAATTAACACTTGTCTACTTAGAAATGCGCAAGAAGATAGTAGAGTCGTGATTTCGTATGTATCTAAAAGAGCGGTTGTTTTAACTCTAATGATTCGCATGTGGTAGATTGCTTGTTAAATCATTGAAATCTCGGAAATTTGTACAGACTTCAAAGACATTTCTTCTAAACCGTGTACAGGTGTGTTTGTTACGCATGATTAAAAACATTTCAACATCCTTTGTTGGCGTTAGGACTGAAATTATGAAATGAAGGTTGCGAAGGAGGTACACAATTTTAATGACATGTTCTCAGGAAACGATATTATGTGGGTATAAAGATTTGGGAGCTCATAGTCCCGGCGGAACTAGCGCACCCGTGAAGTTTTGCTGGTAATGTGAAAGTCCTTGCCCAAACTCCTCACCGTTTCTTTAATAGCTCCGTAAATTATTTCCTTGAACTAAAGAACATCAACATATTACGTAGTAAGAAATAGCTCGTGATCACCGAATTATGTACGTGCATAAAAGGCACGAAACTGCAATCAAGCAGACACGAGAAGAATCTCTAAGAATTCTTATATAAATCTGTAGGGTTCAATATTCTACTAATTATCACGCAACGTGAGAGAATACCCAAAACGACTGAATTCCAAACCGAGGATACTTCCTCAGTACTTTCAACAGACATCACTGTGCCAAATTAATTTAATATTATTTGCTTTAATTGTCGTTTTCTTCCTTTCATATCATTCTATGTTTTCTATTCGTTTTCTCTTGCCAAGTTTTCGCTATATTTAGGCAAATTTATATATTTTCTCAGTGCGTTACATCTCTTGCTCTTTGTATATCGGCACGCGGTAGCGTAGTTGGTTGAGGCACTATGCTACAATAAGAAAGTTCACGGGTTCGAGTCCCGATGTCACTGGAATTTTCAAATTATTTAATCCTTCCAGCCGCACTATGGCCCTGGGGCTAACTCAGCCTCTAACAGAAATGAATACCAGGAATCTTCCTCGGAGGTAAAGGGCCGCCGGCGCGTAAGACTGACAACCTTATCGTCATCTGTGTGCCGATTGCCTAGATCAGGCATGTCAAACTCAACTTGTACAGAGGGCCACCTCAGCCCTATAAATAATAGTCCAGGGCCGCACTTCAAAATAAAAATATACATTACATTTTGATACAAGGAAATTTAATTCTATTTATTATTTAGGAATGATTTCAATATAATTACCTAAAGTCACATATCTTACAGTTTTAAAAAGCAAGAGAATGCCATTTTTGACAAGTATAAAACAACTTTTCAATATGTAAGAAGAGAAATTACACAAGAAATTATGTTAGAAATAGCAAAACATTGAATTTCCTGAGGCCTGCTAATTTATGTCTGCGTGAGACTTCTTGTCTTCTGGTCTGTTGGAAAATTGTCTTTACAAAAAATATTTCTATTAAAATTTTAATATTGATTTTAATATCAATTAGCTCTAAAAGTTGAGGGGCCGCACTTTGTGACTATGGGGGCCGTATGCGGCCCGCGGGCCGCATGTTTGACACGGCTGGTCTAGAAGATGTGGGAGCCTCGACGTCTCACACCCTGTGGGCCTTCACGGCCTGTTGCGTAACTCTATATTTTACGTTACGTACACATATTCTGTATGATGAGCCGTTTCTAAGAAACTGAGAAACTTCGATATCATCTTCAAGTGCAGTATGTGGAATGTATACGCAGTGTCCTCATTAGAGTCGGTTTTCCGAGATTATGCTCACATTCCGGGGGAAAGAGTACTTTATTTACAACGGAAAGAATATTGAATAAACATACCAGTATTATTATTATTATTATTATTATTATTGGAGGGGGTGGGTTTCCCCATGCACCGCGACCAGTTGTTGATCTATTGTACGTCCCCCTTTGATATTCTACCAGTCTCCATGCCCTACAGGTACTGGTGGGTGCTATCAGCCCTGTTGAGCCAACGAGGTCGGCCCTCGGTACCTTGATACTTCCCCCATCTACCAGAGGCATTGGAAACTACTTGGGCGGGAAATTGTTGCCTAATTTAGCTCAGAGGTTTCCTAGGGACATGAAGTTCTTTTACGTGGCTCCCTCCCGGAGGACTTGTTCCCTGAATTTTTCCGCCCTTAAAAATTCCACGACCTCCGCCGGGTTTGAACCCGCGTACCTTGAGTCATGAGGTGGGAACGTTACCCCTAGACTACGGAGGCCGCTCAACATACCAGTAACACAACAGCTGATAGAAACAAATGCTAGTGTAATCGCAACGTTACAACGTGTTGCGGATAAACATCTGAATGCAAGTGAAAACAATTGCGGTTAAAACAATTCACCGTATCGGTAAAGCGATATTTAGGACATCCGCATAACCGATACAAACCAAAGTTAAATTGAACCAATTTTTTTTTTTTTAGAAATTTCAGAAATAGAATATGCTCTAGGAGACTTTTTGTCTTTTTGTTACGACACTTCGTCTAAGGAGGAGGGAGGGCAAGCGGAAATCTTAGCCAGTCAAACAACATGTGACATTTGCAGCAACATTGATTAGTTTTCTGTGACGTGGTTTTATATCTATAATAAACATGAAGGATATCGTTGTATATTCATGTATTATATAATAAGAGTCAAGTAATTTAAAAGAGCGTTGATACTAATTAATCTGCTTAAGCATATCTCCCAATTACATTCCAGCCAAAGAAAATACGAAATAACTTATTCTGGCTAGCGAAATAAATACATCTTTTATTATTTTTATGGATGATACGTGGAATCTGGTATTTGTTATCTAGCAGCCTACTGCCTGCATTTGCCTTCAGTGCTGTTGATATCTGCCTTTGTACAAGATGTGTATCTTCTTCCTGTGCTTCGCTTTATGTACGTACTGTTGCTTAACTGCTTCTGTGATCGCTATGCATGTTTGATCCTCGCATGAGAATGTCACATACTTGGAGCGACAAAATGCTGCTTCTTTGACCTTCATTATCGTGAAACTTCAGATTTCAAACTGGCCTAAGCCAGATTCTTTCTAAAGGTTTCTGAAGATTGTGCATAAGACAGAGGATGAATGGGTTTTTGGACTTCTTCCACCGACCGGTATTCTAGAAAATAGAAAACACGACGTTTCGGAAACTGGGATATGTTTCCGTCCTCAGGTGAGGGGGCAGACACCTACTCAGTTGGGCTCTTTAGAAGGAGCTACCTCGGGGCCCAAGTAAGTATGTCTTCCCTTTCCGAAACATCGCGTTTTCTATTTTATAGGCTACCGGATGATGGAAAAGGGGCAGGATGTGATGTAGTTGGTTGAGGCACTATGCTACAAGCCGGAAGGTAGCGGGTTCGAGTTACGATGAAGAGGAAATTTTCAACTGACCTAATTCTTCTGGTCACACTATCGCCCTGGGGTCCACTCAGCCTCTTAACAGAAATGAGTACAAGGAATCTTCCTGGGGGTCAATGGCGGCTGGCGAGTAAGGCTGACAAACTTACCGCCATCTGTGAGCCGACTCTCTAGAGAAAATGTGGGAGCCTCGACGTCTCACAACCCTATGGGTCTTCACGGCCTGTTATAGGGATTGCTTTACATTTTTACTTACCTCTACCGGACGATGGAAGAAGTCCAAACAACCAGTAATCCTGTCCAGATTCATTCTCTCTGTAATATACAGAGTTTCTACAAATGATTAATTCCATTTCAAAACACTATATTTTCCAAAGTATTAAATATACAAGCATGATTGATACATAAAAAGAACCGAAAACTCATCAAGTTTATATCGTGATACACCAGTTGGCAGCAAGCCTGCAGTGCCTCACAAAATAGCGACGAAGCTGGAAAAAGAGTTTCTGTGTGTTGGAATATGCGCGATGTTCGTCTGTTACTGCAGTGCAGCGCGCATTCAGAGCAGAGCACAGAAAAGAACCACCATGTAAACAGAGCATTCTGTGATGGTATCGGCAGTTTAAGGATACTTGTTGTCTGTGTAAACGGAAAAGCACGGGGCGACCAATATAGTGTTTTGAAATGGAATGAATCATTTGTAGTAACTCCGTTTTATGACTACTTGGTGGTGGTGCCCAAGATCCTAAGGGGTTCATAGGAACAGGGATTTTACTGAACAGCCGAATAATCATCTGATACTCAGTTATGACTATTCAACAAGGAGCGTATGAGTCATCCTTTGCCTACAGCTCAATCGAGTGTCAAGACTGAGCGTTATCTTCTGTCCTCCAACATTCCTCAAAGAACCTTACATTAAGGAAACCATGTGGTGGGGTATAATTACATCGTCAGAAAGTACAACGCCCTAAGATTCCTGCCTAAGTGTTAGATCATTCGTTCGTCGCACTAAGAATGCCTGAAGTTTGAATGATGCTTCATGCTCTGATATTTAAATTGTTAGAGAAAACTGCATAACGAGGAGCTTAGTAACTTGTACTCTTCTCCAAGTATAATTAGAATGATCAAGTCAAGAAAGATGAGGAGGGCAGGGGATTTAGCATGAACGGAGGGAGATGTGGAATTCGTATAGGATTTTGGTAAGAAAACTAGAAGGAAAGAGACCATTAGGAAGATCTTGACGCTGGTGGGAAGATAATATGACAATGGAACTTGGAGAAACTGAATGGGGTGGTATGGACTAGAATTATCTGCTTGGGGATAGGGACCAGTGGAGGGCTGTTGTTAACATGGTAATGAACCTTTGGATTTGATAAAATGTTGGGAGAATCTTCAGTAGCTGAGTGACTAGCCTCAACTCCATGAAGTTAGTGGAATCTAAATTTACTGAAGTGGTAATCCCTTTCAATATACTTCCTGTATGACTCAATTTGCTTAAATTATCATAGTAGTGACACTACTTTCTGCCTATAATATATTTATCATGTTTCTGTCACACTTTTTCTTCTATTCTGTAGTTATATTCTCGTATTTTCTCCAACAAAAAGAGCAACCAATTGACGCAAATCGCCATTCCGTTATGATGCACATAAAAATGTAAGGTGCAAAGTTATCCACATTACATGAATTCAGAAATATTTTCCCTTGAATTCAGTTAAATAATTGATGTTTTAAATTTAAGTTGATCTGAGTAAGTTTTAATTTATTCTTTGCTTTATATTCATTTTTGTAAGACAGGTCTTTCTGAGAAAGTCTATAAGATTTATTGAAGCTTCATGCAAGAGTTCATATATGACTGAGTATGAGTATGATAGGTGAGCCATAGAATTGGCCCTAGCACTGCGACCTTCACTGGTCTATTGTGCTTTTCATACATGATTAGCACGGATGCAAGTTAAACTTTCCCGGAAACTTGTAATGTAGATCCTTCTTGATGGAAATCTTCTGAGTATTTTCGAAATTAATACATACGACTGAGGCTTCACATGTTACTCTTTCCTTTTATGCAGTTTCTTATAAAAGTGGACAAGACTAAATTCATTTTACACTGAAATTCAGAACAAATATGTCTTCGCTTAATACTGACGTTAACCGGAAATCTTAATATATTTCAATCCATGTTTAGAGAATAATATTTCAGACAGGGCCATACATTCCGCTTAAATAACGCAGGTTTTTATAACAGAGTATGCCGTATGTATTCCCCGTGTAGAGGCGGGTTGAGTTAGTTTCTTGGGCTGGGGTGGGATGGATGGGACTGAGTCCACTTGGTACATCGGCCACTAAGTGGCCTATTGTACCAGCCCCGGTTGATAGATGATGAATGTGGAGCAGTCGGTGGAAAGAGAATTGGTAGGGGAGACCGAAGTACCCGGAGAAAACCTGCCACAATGCCAATTCTTCCACCATAAATCCCACATGACCTGGCCTGGGTTCGAACCCGCGCCAAGGTGTGTTAAACCGGGGACTAACAGTTTGAGCTATGGCACGGTCTCCACCGTAGCCCTGAGAGTCACACAAAGTGAAGAAAAGGGAATCCCGTGCCTGGAGGGTACAGGTAGGACGCCCTGTCACTGGGGGACATAAATACAGAGACTTGGCTTTCCAGGTTGCGGTTTTTACGCAAGGCTGACGACCTTGCTCTGCAAAAAAAAAATATATATTGTTGCGAAATCCAAAGAAGTGGAAACGGAATGATCTAATTCCCAGAAATTGACAGATCTGGTAGAACATTCTCGGGAAGGCTATGGCTCAAAAAGCGCTGTTTTTCCAGTGATGATGTAATATGCATAGGCTTTCTCACAGCATTGAGATCACAGTTAACTCCAAATAATCAGCTTAATTTCGTATATTTGGCAAAGATCTGGCAGACAGGGATTCAACCCCAAAGGGGTAGGAACCTATTTATTTGCCACCACGTCCAGATCGGTTCTGGGGCCCATTCCTACATTTTGGATGAGTAGTCTCCCTCCTTGGGGATATGAAGCCGAAGTGTGAAGCTGACCATTCACCTCCAGCTAGTGCAGAGACAAAGACTTGCGCACTCATACCGTAATTCCTGCATAGGTCTTTATGGCATGGTGCTTAATGAAGCACCCTATCCTATGACACATTATCTAGGTCCGTTGACGGGTCTAAAATAAGTCTTTGGTATAAAAGAGGCCTGTAGACAATCATAAGCGTAAGACATGCTGTTTTACTTTATTACAGGGAGACATGGAAGATGCAGAAATACTGGAGAATAAGATAGCTCCAGTAATAGGCACAATCAACCCGTCGTATTTTGCAAATCCTGTGATCCTTCCGCCGAGAGTGAGGAAAGAAGAGATGTCATTACAAGACAGGAAGTGATGCCGAGCATTATAATGTTCAATGGACTGTCCGCCATCTTCGCGATCATCAACTGTCACTTATCATCAGCACTGTAATGATCTAGTCAGTATTCACCGTACGTAAGCTCAGTGTATCGTGATGTCCCCATATTTAAAATGTGTGTTAATGTGAAGTCCTGAGACTAGATGAAGTGACAAAATATGTTTAGATGTTGATATTTATTCCAGCTTGATATTATTATGCAACAAGGAATATTAGCCAATCTAGATTTTAGCACAAGGAAATTCCTAATATTTTCAGTGTATCAGTGTAATTTCTTGTTAAATAATATTGTCATTATTTGAATGGAAAGTTCCCTATGAATGAAGTACTTAATGGGCACGACAGTGTTATGGATCTTGTGATTTACGTCAGTTACTTTAAACCGCAAAATATACTTTTTCATTTAAAATATCAAAATAAGTGTAATGTTGAAAGTTTGCTTAGCCTATTGGCACTCTATATGCATAAATAAGATATTTAAAATTTTCAGTTCTGCTTTACCATAACTTGAGGGATAATACCTGCAGCTCATGGGGTCATTTGGACACTTGACACTTTTCGTAACTGATGCAAATTTCAATTTTCAGTAATAAATATTCACTGTCCTCTTGGAATGTTTGCATAGATATATTAGGAGACTGTGAGTAATTTTAAAATTGTTTATTTCTTTAACTTCTATTTGTACTTAAAAATTACGAGCCATCGTCAGAATGCAATTCCGATGAGAAGCTGAACATTGTAGGAGACTTGAATTTGTACTCTCAGATGGAACAGTTAGTACTTAAATTGAAATACAAACACGTTTATTAAAATACAGAAAGTTTAATCTGTTCGTTACAAATGTACGTGCGTTCCGCGGAAACTAACAGCGCGCATAACCTTTCCTTCGAACACAGGAACAACAGTGAGGAATCGAAAACTCGTTCCAACCGACGTAACGTGACAAGAGTAAACTCGCATTTTATAAATTAATAATATACGTAAATTAGAAAAACTTATTTGGCACGAGGACATATTTTTCCCTTAACGTCAGATGTCCATTTTATAACTCACAAGATGAGCTTTAGGTTTGAACCTAGTCGTTTGTTGATGTCCTTGTAACGTTTCAGCAGACACTTTAGCTACCATTTTGAGGGAAGCTGTTATGGGCTGTTATTCAGACCTTTAATCTTCTAGCTTTAATCTTCCAAATTAAATAGAGTCAGAACTTCTGGACCTCAACACAAGTACACAAGAGAACATTCGAATATGGATGCATAATTTTCTCGTAAAGCGAAATCGACTAGTATACTTATGGACCCATGTACTGTAGCACTGTCGCTTTTCGAGTGATAATTCGTTAAAAATTCGAGATGAACTTATTTGGAGGTAAGGCTTGCGAGAGAAGTGTAGATCTGTATAGGCATGAATTCATTTTAAATAATTTCAATAAGAGATAATGCCTAATGTGAATTCATCGGTGTGGATTTTTTTAAACTTCTTAAATATAAACGACACTAATCATTATATAGCCTAGGCCTATTAATCTTTTCCATCTATCCTCAGTAACATTTGTGTTAAGGATGCAAAATATTCTAGTGAATTATATATACTACATATCTATTACAAGAAAAAACAGATGAATGCCGAGCAGAAATCGACTCCCTGTGCTCTTAAGATTTAAGTATGTTAGACAATTGCAGTAAAATCATATTTTTATATAAATATACTGACATGCATACAAACACACATACATGCAAACAAGTACAGCAGTGAAGGCATCCATGAGAGCACTAAGATAAGTGAATAACCTACTGCAATGAGGAGAACAATTCTTACCGAGTGTACAGTCGAAATTTGCACTCAAGGACACGAGACAGACTTTGAAGATGACAAACGGAAACAGAACTCCAAAAAATGCTGCTCGAAGGACGTCAGGAGAGCAAACTGCCCAAATTCAAGTGCTCCTGTAACGCCTGTAACTGAGCCTCGGCCTCTGATAACAGGGAAACTGATGGAAACTTATGTTTGATTTGGATGGGGGGAATGTCAAAGAGAAAGGTCTACAAGTATGTCACTGTGGAGCGATGGGCACGCTCACTGTGTCTTGTCCAATTCAAACAGTACGGCCCATGTGACGGCTTCATTGGCCCAGTGGTAGTACTCGTACAGTCTATTTTCTGTGTCTCGTGCGTTGACTGTCGCAAGGGCTATATCCCGCTATTGCCTATACAGGACAACATACAGGAGAAACGTGTACATACATCTATGCCTTGTGTGGGAGTCGTACTCACAAATTCAGTGTCCCAGCGCTAGAATACAGAACGCGCCACGTCACTGTCCTCAGCTTATCTACTCTTCGCAACTCAAAAATAAAGATTAAACAAAGAAACAAATCTACTTCAAGATATCTTTCATTTTCGAAGTCCCTAATTTTATAGATACTTAACTGTAAGTGCGCACAAAATGTAAGACGATACTGAAACAGGAGTCTGTGCTTAGTAAGGAGAACATATACGTAGATGAGAGGATGAATTTGAATATATCCGAGAGAAACAGGATGGGGTGGCATAGATTGGATTTATCTAGCTACCGACTGGTGGTTTCTCAAGAAGGACAGAGCTCCACGGAGTCAGTTAGTTAGGATCTGCTGAAATAAACGTTGTAATTTGAGCGGCAATTCTGGCATAGTAACTAGTATAATTTCCCCTTTGAGAACTGCTCTCAGAATTCTTGTAGATATTTCGCTTAGTGGAGGGTAGATTCCAGCTGGGTCCACTCCGTACGGCGGTCACGGATTGGCCTATTGTACCTGCCCCTGGTGATTATGATGATGGAGAATTTGGTGGAATGAAGATTGGCAGGGGAACCGGAGTACTCGGAGAAAACCCGCACCAGCGCCACTTTGTCCACCACAAATCCCACTTGACCAGACCCGGGATGAAACCCGGGCCGCCGCGGTGGGAAGCCAGCGACTAACCTCTTGAGCTATGGTGCGGTTTCTTGTACATATACTCGACAGTTCTTTTACTTAGAACAGTGCACAGACTTTCCTCATTTTCCAGCATCAGTGTTGTGGTTGAGGAAAATCATTGTCCATAGCCAGTCAAACTTCAATTGGGTAAGGCCGAAGTATTTCCATTCTGAACAAATTGCTTACTACACCGCAGACATAATCAATTTACTGCTAGCTCTAAAACAACTGTCTCTTCATGCCGTTTATGTGTAGCAACCCTGAAGATGGAGGCGATACGTTCCTCCGAAACGTCGATTAACACCACATCTACATGGTGCCACATCCCAGAAGACTGCTTTCTTCATAGTCACCGCCGTGAAAACCTTAAATCTTACAAATGCAGCTGCCTTAAAATGAAGAAGAGGTTCCCACTTGTACTTTTGGCACTCGCTGACAGCTCACAACATTAAGAGCAGCAAATTTTGGGGGGATGATGGATCCCACTTCTTATTCGAGAAGTTCTGGTTCTATTCTGGTGGAGGGTCCAATATATGATGTGGGTTTTCTCAGTCTCTCCAGAGAATGTTTTAGAAAATTGCCCACAGAATCTTCCTGTTACTCAACTCACTATTCATAACAAGGCATAGAACCTTTCATTAGACACTTAACAATATCTGCAGTTCTTAATGTAAGGTTCCTATGTGGTTGGACCCAGTTTCATTTCTCTACTTGGAAGCCGAGGACCTTCTGAATAACTTCAATTCTTATAGACAAATATGGGTACAAAACTTTAAAATATATTACGACACCTCCGTTCCTAATTATCGTCCTAGTCAAAACTACATAGCTATTTCCGTTGAGGAAGTGCAATTAAATAACCTACGAAACAAACAATTTAGAGCAAATGAAGTAACAGACCATCAGCTGTCTCTTCGGAGTGGTCTAAGGCTAAAGATTACAGGATCTCGTAATGTTCTTTTACTTCCTGTAGTCTAATGACTATAAACATGTATCAAATCGTCTTTATTATAATTCATGTCACATTAATATTTACATTTATTGGGCATTTACATTATTTACATTGCATGCACATCTGTAGATACGGCTTTTTTATCAGTTACTTGTTTCTATTTATTCCGTAATATGTTTTATACCAGGATGTCTTGAACAACGACAATTATTCAGGATGATCAAGAAATCTGCCTCCTTGAGTCACAGTCTAAACCATCTTGTGCTAAATCAGGTCATGTGAGAGAGTTGAGGCTCTTTGGGCCGTGCCTACGAACAGAATTCTCTCCTGGGAAGTCAGGCAGTGTAGTCTAGCAGACGTTTGCCTGAAGTGTAGTATTGCCTTCATCTTCAGTGCCGAATATTATGCCAAGCAAACAAGAAAGCAGCACTAATAAGATGGAGGCAGTACGTTCCTCCGAAACGAAGATAAATTTCTGTCAGACAACAAGGTATAACACCCCAGAAGATGTTAATTCTCGTTCCTTCACATGCAGCTGATATTTGAAGTGTAATTGGAAAGCGTTCGTAATCTTATAGACCCACGACCTTGCAGGGTTTCTTGCATCGAAATTTGTAGAATATTACTTATTAGTACTTCCAGGAACTTCAATGGAACTTTCTACTTTTTAACGCTAAATTCGCATTCTTGAGTCATTTATAATTACGTGTCTATTAGTGCAGAAATAACGCGATGGAGAGCACTTAAATCCTGTATCGGACACGACACTAACAGCTAAATATATCCCGGGTCTTGTCAAGTTGGATTTGTGGTGGACAAATTGGTGCTCGGGCGGATTTTCTCCGAGTACTTCGGTTTCCCCTATAAATCTTCATTCCACCAAATTCTCCATCATCATACTCACCCGGGGCAGGCTATAATAGGCCAATCAGTGGCCGCCGTGTCGAGTGGACCCCTTTGGAATCCACCCCCCACTAAGCGAAAAAACAGCTAAATATCAGACCGACAGATTGTTCACGTAACGCTCTACAATACATCTAGGTCCTTACACGTTTGTACACACTCTATTTACACTACATACAGGAAAGAGCCCCCAGTATCCATTGGATAGGACACTCACTGCGCCCCAGAACCGGTCTGGATTCTGTGGAGAAGAGAACAATATATTGCTCCTGGAATCGAACCCCTGGCAACCAGTCCGTAGCCCGTGGCTATACCGACTGTGCTATCGTCAAGACGGAGGATAATAAATATTTAATTTATATAATTAATTATTTCTTAATTTCACTACTGGCTCCTCTGGAGTTCATAAAATATCCGACGAATGTTACATGTGTGTATTACATTTCTCACTTCAATCGACAATTTTTCATATTTTATGGAGACAAAGGTTGTTTTGTAACATTACCCATTTCACATTATCACTGTAACATACATTATGAACATATTATACATGTTAGGATTATGGTGTAACTGACAATTACGAATAATAATAGGCGATTAAGTATCAATTCCAGCTCGTAACTCTAATTGCTGCCTAATACATTATTCATAATAACCGGATTATTCTTTTCTACCGGGACCTGTATAGCCCTATACATGATCAAATTCCATCATTTACATTTTTATTTCAGTGAATGAGAAACTGGACAAAACATATACACATCTCTTAAATTGAGAGCTAAGATAATTAATCGGTAGAATGATGTCATGACCATTCACCATTTTCAAGCAAACCTTTAATAAGATCAGCTATGTAATGGAACATACAATTGTCATAAATTACATTTGTATAATTGCAATCTTTTGTTTACTTTTAAATATTAGATATGTTACATGTTAGGAACTAAAAAATCAAGCTAAATTAATGAAAATTTAATTATGTCATTATTCTAAAGTTCCTGGATTGTGTAGGTTTGCATGAGATCTTTCGCAACTGTTCCATATGAAAACAAGCGCCATAGATCAGACATGTGACAGGAATAGTAAGACATTGTTTATATAAGAGACGGAAGTCGTAATAGTCTCACTGACCTACTTGATAATTGCGAATGCACTTCGAAAGTAAAAAAAAAATGAATAAATAAACATATTTACTGTGTCTGCTAGAATCAGTTCGAAATGAATTGATAGGTCTAAAGCATGAATGGATAAGCACATGAACAAGGAATCTTAAAAATCCTTGGACGTCGAGATATTAAGACTTTATATTTCAGACAAGATGGATGTACCAGGACATTTGACACTCTTTACATTTCATTTGTGCTCGGAAAGTAAAAGGAAATATTGCTTCTAATTCTGGCCTCTGTTTTCAGACGATTTCCGTTACTAAACAAATTTACTTGTAGCACAGCACCAAACCGGTGTTTGCTGTCATTCTCTTTACAGAACAAATTTGAATTTTTCATTTTATTTATTTCATAATGAATTATAGTTAGAACTGTTTATTTCGATTTTTAAAATTATCAAATTTCGAGTTAGTATTTATACGACACTCAGTTTGGCAAGCAAATTGTACAGGGACTCTTTTCTCTCCTCTTGCCCTCACTTTGGAGCATAGGGGTGATTTTTCAGTTTCATGATCATATTACAGAAGGTGGGAATCCTTGGACGAGTGACCATCTCGTCTCAAGGCCTCTACCTAAACACAGGACAACACAAACACAGAATAAACACATACACATACCAAACATACATGCCTTGTGTGGGATTCGAATCCACGATCCCGGCTTCCGAGCGAGCAAAGACATGCTTTAGACCGCTCGGCTACCGTGACCGGCAACTGGAAAACTACTCCTGATTTATTGGACGGTCTTGTAGGAACGGCCATTATACACCGTCACATCAAGAGCCCTTCACTAATATAACTTTGAGCGAGTTAATCCAATTCACAGTTTCACTCCCGAACTGAACGGACTAGGAAATCTAGAAAACTTCAGTAGGAAATTACATATGATACATGTCCTCATATTTGATGATAAAGCTGACAAATATTAATTTATATATAGCGGGTGGTGTTGAAGAGAGATAAGGCCGTGTAGTCCGTCGAAAATCAAGCGACGTTTCGGAGGAACATATCGCCTCCATATTCAAGATTAAAGAATAAGATGAGCATGAAACCAGAATGAAAGCAGGTGGCAATTCTACCCCGAAATTGATGCGATATGTTCCTCCGAAATGTCGCTTGACTTTCAACGGACTACACATCGTTGTATCCAAGAAGATACCACTCTTCATTAATTTAAATAGTCTGTGTAACGAAATATCCTTTCAGGTTACAATTGTAATGGTAGGAAAGCAACAGGAAGCGTGTTGATTTGTCCGACAAACTGATCTAATGAAGTGGAGACTGAATATTTTTTAAACATTAATCTAAATTTAATGTAACTAGAACGTCCTTTACTAAAACATAATTCCTTGCTTTATCATAAGCAGGTCATCAAGAATGTCATTGTATCCAAATCTATACGCGGACATTATATTCAATTACACAGACCTAAGATTTGGCTTGGAGTGCAGCCGTCCACACAACATTCTACAATTAAGTTGTGCACTGCTGGAAGATTCCTCCTATGCTGAATATTGGAGTCGTCAAAAATTGCAAGGTCCTCCGTCCAGCATGATGGCACACCAAGGACCTTTCCTGCTAACAACCAACCATTCCGATGAGCAGCAGAAACACCAAAGTCATGAAACGCACTTTCTCCTAAATAAATAAAGTATGTTCTGAACATTTAGATTGGCAGAGAAGTGCAATGTGACTTTAGAATTCATACTGGGTTCAGCACAGTTGACTTTCCCGTACATTTTCTTTCATTTTGCCATAATCATATCAATATGCAAACGTGCTTCTTACACAGAGATTTCACCTTGCTTTTGCCAGAAGCGGTGTTTGAAACTGGTATATACTAAGTATTTAAACTAAAATTATCCAAGTATATTCTATAGGGTTCTGACGAGGGTGCATAACACTCAGAATTACTGTGTTTTTGGACTTTTTCCATCGTCCGGTATTCTCTAAGCTAGAAAATTCGACGTTTCCGATACTGGATCTGTTTCCGTCTTCAGGTTAGGGGGGAAGACACCTCTTCAGTTGGGTCCCTTAGAGGTCCACTGGAGGTCCAGTGAACGAGGTTAGCTCTTTCTTAGTGACCCAACTGAATAGGTGTCTTCTCCCCTAACCTGAAGACGGAAACAGATCCAGTTTCTGAAACGTCGTGTTTTCTAGTCTCTAGAATACCGGCCGATGGACAAAGTCCAAAATCCCAGTAATTCTAAAATTATCCAGCCAATTAATTTCTTTAAACTAACAACATCCATGCACTCCCTTGGGAAAATGGGGATGGGAGAAACGAACCTACCGAGTAACGAGGGCGAAGCGCTTTGTTGTGCTGGTCTGTGACGAGTGAATAGATCCTTATTTTCGGCGAGTATTGCATTTCTTTTATCCTTGGGTTCGGCGCACGAATCAAGTATCAGTTGTCGCATTTTTTTGCTGCAATTCTCGTAGTGTGAGTTTGCCACACTTTCTTGCAATAAATGTGCTGACGTCATCACAACAATAATCTAGAATAATGTAAAAGGTGTGCATCATTATTCACATTTGTATGGTTAACTCTTATTTCCTTTCCTTATTTTATACATACATACATATATATGCAAATTCGGGGCACACCATTTCACCATTTCCAGTGGTTATGTGCCGATATAGGCTAATGTATATACATAGTTCAATCAGCACCACAAAATAATAAAAACTTAAAAGCTATCTCTGTAACAGGCCGTGGTGACCCGTAGGTTTGTGAGACGTCGAGGCTCCCACATTTTCTAGCCAGTCGGGGTAAAGGACAGCCCGGCGCATAAGGCTGAAGACCTCACCGCCCTCTGTGAGCTGACTGTCTAGAAAAATGTGGGAGCCTCGACGTCTCACAACTCTACGGGCCCCCATGTCCTGTTACAGGAATAACTTTAACACAAACTAACAGAAATTTTTAAAATATTAAAAACTAAAATGTAATTTTCTGTTGCGTGCATTAATTTTGTCTTCTTTCAGTGTTAAGGCATTGGTAGTAGCCAAATTAAATTTTCGTTTTGTTTACTTAGCGACGCCCTCAATAGCTGACACTATATAGCGCCAAATGAATTGTACGTTTGTTAATAATGAACAGGAAAGAGTGTGGAAAGAATCGGTTCTAGCCTAATTCAAGGTACTTTCCCAATACTGGCATGGCGAGACAGAAAAATCACGAAATCTCACTCATTCGGTGTCCTGGCCGAGATTCGTACCCCGCTCCTCTCGATTACAAGTCGGCTGTTCCCGACACCGACAGCTTGCTCGATGGCAAACGAAACATGCGTTATTCCGTTTTTAGAATAATTTCCTTATCGTGCAAAAATAAAAGGAGGCTTATGAGATCACCTTGCTGTCTATCTGTGTATCCGCCCGTGTCTGTCCATCTGTCTGTGCACCCCGCCCCCCCTTAATTTGTGTTAGGAGGCTTATGAGATCACCTTGCCCTCTGTGCGTTTATGTGTCTCCTCTGTCACTCCTCCTCGCTCGGAAGCCGGGGTCGTGGGTTCGAATCACACTCAGGGCATGGATGTTTAATGTTTGTGTGTTTATTGCGTTTTTCTGTGTTTGTGTACAAGTAGAGGCCTTGCGACGAGCTGATCACCTGCCCAAGGAGTCCTACCGATTGTCTAAGATCTAGTAAACCGAAGTGAAACGGAGAGTTCCATGGAGGTAGGCCAAGGCCCAAATTTGGGCTATAGCGCCAAAAGGGAAAAGATGAGGCTTATCAGATCACCTTTTGTTTTTCTTTGGAAATGTAGCAAAGAGAACATTAGAGATTATTTTGTTCTTTGCGCTCTCACAAATGGTGAATAGGCCTGCAGTTTCCGCAGTTGCAAGGCTAGTGTAGTAAGAAAAGTAAGAAATGAATGCTAGTTTCTTAGTTTTGCTTATTCTTCGGAAGATGGACGCCATATGTTCCCTCAGAAATGTGGGGCTCTCTCCGAACTACACATTCTTACAACCAAGGAGACCAAACTCTTTAAAATTATAGACTGATTATTTTAACTTTAAACTTCAGTGATGAGGTGCAAAATTCTAAGATTTATACTTCCAAAAGAAATCATACTATTACAAACACACTCATACTGCCTTTCTATTTCAAATGATATAACATATTTGAACCTCGTACCCAGATTCCATTAGTTACGAGAATATGTAACCTCAGCATTTGACTATTTGTGTGAACTGAGAATGCACAACGTGTCTTAGAATTACAAAACGGTATTCATAGTTTTACTGACGACTTGAAAGCTTATAACGCTCGTTAAATCCAATTATAACCCAGTAATGACATTAAATACTGAGACATAAACTTGGTCTTCACGACTCTGATTCGAAGAACGAAAACATACTTTTGCACGCAACCACTCCGCCAATTAATTATAAAGTATCATGCTCAATTTAATTTTTTTTCCGAAATAAGTTTAAATTCACCATAATTTGGATAAAGCTGTTTTCTATCTCGCATAATATCTTGAAAGTAAATTCGAATCCTATGTAAGTACAAATGAATGTGTTCTGTGTTTACATAATTAAGGACATGCCCAGGAATGACGTGTAGGAATGGAGGTGTAACATCAGTATTTATTAACATTGAACACTAGATGGAGGTGAGTGGTTAGCTGCTCGTCCCGACCGCTTTACCCCTAAAATCCATTGGAATCCAGCGTTAGCCTGGATAGAGTGGCGAGTACGACAATCTGTACATCCACAGGGAATCGAACCCAAATTTTACAGCTTACAGCCTCTAGCCTCGTCACTATACCAAAAAGGATACCACTTTACCAATTCTACATGGAGACATGGACTGAGCAATAGATAAACCAAAATGTTTCCCCTGCTTTTCGCACATCCCTTTCTTACCTGAAGACTCTTTGTAAAAGGCATATGATATCAAAGGGATTATGGTTACTAATTAAGTGCAGATCTTCCACCAGATCCTTTTTTGCTTCCTTTTAATATTAACGGCCTATTCTAATCATCGTCATACACTGTAAGTGCTATATCAATTATGCCACTAGTGTTCAGTAGTCTGATACGTCGTATAGATTCATTTGATGAACAAAATGGCCACTACTCTCAATGCATTCTCCGATATCAGTTTCTTCTATCGGTCACGTCTTGTTTCCAACACACTGTACAGGTATTTTAAGTAGCACAGAGTTCAATTCAATATACTGCACTCGCTACAAGCCTGTTTCAGCGAGGACTCAGACAGTACTGTCTTCTGTCACTCGAGCACTGGGATTGCGATTTCGAATAGCACTACTGGCATGGACTTATGTCTCTGTATTTCTGCTTTCCGTTTTCTGCTTAGATAGGGGCCTTGCGATGGGCCGATCTCCTGTCTAAGGAGTCTTTCAGAATGTCTACAAATGCCATTCCGAAACCGGTAAAACGCGAGGATTTTGTACTGAATTCGACTGCTTTGCCAGGCAAGAACATAGACCTACTTCAGAACTTCCTAAATACCATGACATATTCCCTGCATTATCAAAGCCTTTCGCATTTATTACGTCCCAATTAATAGTCCAAAAATTGGTGAAAATATTTCTTAAATACGAAAAAAACAGGACTGGTTCCTTATTTCGAGACCAGGTTCACCCTATGATTTGTGTGTACTCACCAGTACCAGAAGCTCCTTCATTGTGGTGAAGATGTAAATAAGACGCACTGGCAAGTAAAACTGTTATATGTGGAATTAATATAAGGACAGAAGTGGGATGCCTGCTGCTGAGGACTGTGAGGTGGCTCTGCGTCTTGGATTGAGTTCCTTCCACTTTTAAACTCGAGATGTGGAATGCCATCACACGTGTGCTCCAGGAATTGTTTAGTGTCGCCTTTATCACACAAATAGGAATGTGCAAAACCAGCCCTATTATTTTTTATTGTTATACTGTTAATGTGTTACTCTGAAGTTGTATTTCCCTTTCAGAAGCGGCTTGTAGATAGTGGATACAAAATTATTTAACATAAATTTATGAACATTTATGATGGAAGGAACTCTTATTTATCCAGATTATATGCGTGAAAATTTAAAATAAAAAATATATTTCTTTGCAGCGTTATTGTACACGCAGGCACTGAAACAAACATAAGTATCTACTAGTTGCCGCTCAGCTACTTAATTCAAAGATCATTTGTAAATTCATATATTAAACAAACGAACTACGTGGCATGTAGTCCGCAAGCGAACTATACCGACCGAGCGACCGCCGAATGTCGGTGAAGTTTGTGCCAACTTTTGCGAATTGAGGGTGTCACGTAGTCAGCGCAACGGATCCCCACGGCCGTTAATCTCGGTTTTCTAGACCGGATCCGCTACTTTTCCAATCAAGTAGCTCCTCAATTAGCCTCATGAGGCTCAGTGGACCCCGCTCAAAACCCACTACTTCTCAGAAAATGTGGTAGCGCCGGAACTCTGACCACTAGACCACAGAGGCGGTCAAAGAGAAATAAATAAATCTCAATCTAATATAGAACCTATTCGTTAATTTCGAACAGTCTACTTTCAAAGTAATGCAGCAATTTTTTTAAAGTTTTGTGACGGTGGTTCATTAAGATGTATTAATATTATGTAGGGCACTGTCAGTTCCACCACACATATTTTATAGAGGCCTACTCGACGTTTCAGGAGTTTGATCTATTCCCGGCTTCAGGAATTGATTATAATTACACGCACTATTCATATTTTAATTTTATAGTAATGGCGATGTTTGGGATCAAGCCTGGAGCCTTTTGAATACTACGCTAGTAAGCTGATCAGTTAATGGAAACCGGGAACATACCCAACTCCCGATACGTCGTACACATCTTATTTATTTATTTATGGCTTATTCAACAACGTTCTCGGGAGCTCTGACTATGCAGGGTGTAACGGAAAGTTTCGGCCAAATACCAAAGAAGAAAAAAATCCGTATCAACATGTGTTCGGAAACATTCAATTTATGAGTTACAGCTGAAAGAACAGCGTTGTGATCCTTTCAGTTGTCATACATTTTAGCCCTTTCGTGCGAGATATTCTCAATAACACCTATCAAGACCGACGGACAGGTAGAAGAGAACCCACTGCATAATATCCACATTCGCTAGATTTGAATTCTCTGGATTTTTACCTGTAGGGGCACCTAGAAACCCTTGTGTATGCAGCTCCTGTTGATAACCAAGATTAACTTCACCACTGCACTCTGGATGCCTCTCAGACTATCCGCAACTGCCTCGGCATCTTTGCACGGGAGTGGCGGCCCATGATGAGACGTGTCGAGGCGTGCATTGAATCTCATGGAGGACAATTTGAGCACTTATTATAAATTCAACATTTCAGCTATAACTCACAAATGAAATGCTTCCGGACACATGTTGAGACGTACATTTTGTTTCTGAATGCGGAACTCGTGCCGAAAGGATTTAATTTTAAATCTTAACATTGTTACATAGTGGACGGTAAACAAAACCAAAAATAAATTCGAGCCCAAAGCTTGTCCGTACTTTTCAGTTACACTCTGCACAGCGTGGAATCATCTAAAACGAATACAGACATAACCCAGGCAATGGTCAGTGTCCGTCATTGTACTGGTCCTGTGGCAGACCTATATATACGGAGTTGCACTTTGCGCGAACTGCGAGGAAATTATTGTATTCAGCTCACATACTGTGGTCAGAAGCCATTGGACGTAGTCTGAAAAGCATGTTACAAAAATCTGGGCTGAAATTATTGACCATTTCCAATTACATCATGTACAGACATTAGGGATGAGCTTAACAACATAAATAGCTGCACAATGCAATTACGTATTATGTATGATTTAAAGTAAAGAACGCGAGTGTCTGCAACAGGATCGTTCGCTTTGCTGACAACTTCCTTAATATCTCATGGAACCGAAATATTTTAAGGTTATATGACACAGAAACCGTAGGATAACATAAAAATGGAGCAGTGCACTCGGGCATTATTCACGTTGCAGTGAAATATTTGCACCTTCTTCAAGACCGGTTCATCGTACTGAGAAAACGTACTGACATCCATGTATATAGGGAGTTTTCTACACGGCGCAGACATCAAGCGAATTAATGCGTTATGACTGGACGTGACTTAACGGAAGGAGTTTCCACCTGTCCACCAGAGTCCGCGCACTATAAAATAATAAATCCCTGTATTTCACGATCTGTTAAATATCTAACAAAATAAAAGAAAAAGCCAAATCAGTAGTTGCAGTTGATATATGCAGTCCAAATATTATAGCTAAGTTCTGATCAGTGTCTCCTGCGCCAAAGAACTCGATGTTTCGACAAGAGGTTTGGGAATTTCAGGATGCTACTGACTGAATGAGTGACGGAGATGGTGAGACTGCATAGCTAAGGCCATATGAACGATTTTTTTTGTAGTCCGTGCGTGGACGTGAAATGGCGGAAGTGAGGCAAAGTGCCAAAGTGGACACACGGATGCGTCCATGCGCGGTTCACTTCCTGCGATAGCAGTACACATACTCCACGCACATAAAATGGTTTCTCAGATGACGTTTATTTATATGTACTTCTATGCCTAAGACAATAAAAGCAAAGAAGATGCTGGTTTCATCCTTTCATTTGTGAAATAAGGCAAAAGCACGAATATAAGACGACCCCCTGTTTTTCCAACGAGAAAATAATGAAACATATTTTTTTACAAAATTGAGTATGCCGTTTAATTCTGAGGGTTGCTCCTCATAACAATCTTCGTATTTATTCTTAAGGGCCCGAAAGAAAGGCAATCATTCTATTTTCAGAAGCAGTATTTGAAAAAAAAAAAACTCGCTTTATATTCGGGCTAACACAGAAGGGAAAATTTTATATACCTCATGCATAGCTGTAACATGGAAACTCTGCGAGTGTCTGTTAATATTTCGCTGCACATAACATTCTCCGCATTAAAACAAATTGCCCACCCTGTCTAAAAATTTTAAAATCTGTGGTAGATGTAGGCATTGGGCAGGCTGTTGGCACTTTGGCGACGGAAATGGGGCACGGTGCCAGGAGACCTGAGACCTCAGGGCGGTCAGAAACACGTCCTGGCCGCTCGCCTTGATTTCAGAGGGATTCTTTTCTCACGTCCTTTAGATGTCCGATCATGGGTGTCAAAAAATGAGGGGAAAAGAAACTCATGAAGTCTCCATCCTAAGAAAACCTACTTGTTAGGCACACGTTTAAATCACCAAAAAATAACACTAGGAGCTACTCCTATATCAAATTTCGAGAACAGCAGAGAAAGTCCGCCCGCCCATATTGAATACGACTGACTGACTGAGTGACAAGAAAGGTGGAAAATACACACGCATCTCACATCGAAAACAATACACAGTACTTTCCCGAGTTTTATACTTCTTTCACATATATGTGGCGTCATGTTGGTATTGGTAAATCGCTAACATCTTTGCATGCAGACCTCATCCGAATTTGTGTGTCACTGGTACCTTGACTGGGGATGTCGACGTTAAGTCTGGGAGCACCAGGTGTAACTAAAATATTAGCAAAACCATTTTCCGTAATTCTAAACTGGATATAAAGATATAACTGAAAGAACATAGAATATGTACTATAGGCAGGAAACAAGATAATTCGTAGGATAACTTCTACACTAGAGTTCAGTAAGAAAATAGAACGAAAGAAAAATAATGCAGGAAGAAGAAACAAACAGAAAACATAAGAAACAAAAGGGGGAAAAAGAAGGGAAAGAAAACTAAAAGAATGGCCTAAATTTGGTCCAAATCTTCAAGCAAAAGAACAACGTCCACTTTTCAAGATGGACGAACTGACGGCGAATACAACCACGAAGGACATCCCCATTTGCTGGAACGTGTTCTGCACCAAGTGAATTTACATTCCGTGTCAATGTTATCTGGAATACCTGCCTCCGCCATGCATCTGGTCTTAGCACGTACTGCAGTTCGTGGCTTAAGTCATCAGCACACTGCTGTAATGTTCATGGCTATAATTAAGAAACCAGAGAGGTGAGTCAAGTGTCGGAGAAGAAACGTTTTCCTTTGTTCAGGGTAAGTAAATGTATTCTTAATATACCACACTAAAGTACTAATATCTCTTCAACTCTGCTTCTTAAAATTGTGTTCATGCCAAATTGCGAATTGTTGTTACCTTCGTGGAAAGGATGCATGCTTTGCAGAGGCTGCATCTCGTCGGAGGCAGCTAGGAATTTTTAAGACCTTATTTTGAGAAAAGTCTCAGCATCTGCTTGAACAACGAACAGCTTGTCAACGTAGGTATTCCAGATAAGGAAAGAAAATGCACCGCAACATTCTGTATAATAGAAAGTGTACAATAAATTTCTCCTTAATATGTAATGGAGCGTTGTGCCACAGGTTAACAATTGTGCAACCTTCCATTGGCTTATCTGTCAACAAATCTACGTTAGATCAGAAATGGCAACTGCACTTAACAGAAATATTCCTTCACTGCTTCAAGGAAAATAGTAAACTAACCAGTGCAGCCGAAATTCATATTTAATGAAAGTCAGCCAACGACTTTGATACTCTGGCAAACAGAGGAATTCATATCACGCAGAATGACACTTGCTCATAACTATCTAACTTCATGCAGCTGAGCCCTTCTTGAGAAGCCGCCAATTCTGTAGCTACTCAAAAACTTCCCAGCATTTTATGGAACCCGAAGGTTCATTACCGTGTTCACAAGAGCCCTCCACTGGTCACTATCCTGAGCCAGACCAATCCAATCCACACCATCCCATCCTCTCTCTCTAAGATAAATTTTAATATTATCCACCCACCTATGTCTTGGTTTTCTTAGTGTTCTTTTTCATTCTGGCTTTCCCACCAATATCCTATATGCATTCCTCTCCAACCCAATTCGTGCTACATGCCCTTCCCACCTCATTCTCCTTGACTTGATCACTCTAATTATACTTGGAGAAGAGTACAAATTATGAAACTCCTCATTACGCAGTTTTCTCCAGTCTCTTGTCACTTCATCTCCCTTCAGTCCAAATATTCTCCTCAACACCCTGTTCTCAAACACCCCCAGTCTATGTTTCTCCCTTAATACGATTAGAGACCAAGTTTCACACCCATACACCTCCCCATAGTGAACATTTTAGAAGACGACTACTCGTGCTGTCATGGGGTTCGAGAGTTCATCCTCATTAGCATAAACTTTACAATTAGACTATATCCTGAGTCAGTTCAATCCAGTTTGAATTAATTAATTAAATTACCTCTGTAAGGTTCGATCTGAATATTTATTTAATATACATATTTATTTCTCCACTTAATTAATTAAGGTGATTAATCAGTAACTGTAATGTAATTGTATATGCACAGAGGAAGCCTGCGAACAGTATAGTAAGCCATCTCAGTGTGTAAGAATATAAAATACAAAAACTTCAGCCCTTTCCATAATACCTTTTTATTATTGGTCGCGTTGGCTGAGAATGGGTAAAGGGAACAGAAACCATTAACCACAAGGGAATTTGTTCTGAAGAAAATCACAAACTGCCTCAAAAAATGTTGGGCCAAAAATGGGCCGAATGGACGTGTGTAAGGTTTATGCTGAAAAATAAAATGTTCATTGACAGCTGCAGAAACGCTCAAACATTTATGTCAACAAAGGAATGGAAAACCTACGTGCTTGTGAAACCATGAACTCATTGTTAAGGTGTGTGAGCGATATAAAACTAGCAGCTTCTGATCACTACGCTATGGAATGACTGTTATGCCGACTTGCTGTCTGTGAATGTTATGTACCCGTATATATGCCACGCGTCTACAAGTATATTGCACCAATTAAAAGTATTTAGGCCAAGGTCACAAGAGCAGTTTGCCATCCGTGCGCGAATATGAAAATAACAGAGTGAATGTAAATCACAAAGATCAACGAGCGTGGCAACGCGGACATGAAAATCTTGGACGTGTTTCTAACTGCGCTTCGTTCTAGTCTCCTAGGTTCACCGCAGTCGAACTCACCGTGTTCCAGCTGTTTCTTTCCCAGAACAGAGTGATAACAGCTTGCCTCGTGCGTACGACTATTTCCAATTTTAAAATCTGTAGACCGCTCGGACAATTTGTTTTAATATGAAGAACAATATTTGCAGTGAAGTATGATAAACGAACTGATGGGCATGCGGTGGAGCTCGAAAGGCTACCAGGACACCTCTTCAGTTGTGCATGAAGTATATGAACTTCCGTTCTGGTACTTTTTCACAAATTACAGGATGAAGCCTCCAATTTCTTGGCCTTTTCTCCACGACATAAGAGCCACAGGTAAACAAACTTCATGTACGAATGGCATTTCTATCTGCGTGGAATGTGTTTACATATATAGTGGAGGCGCGGCTTACGATCTGAAGACAGCGCGTAAACCAAAAGTCGCGTATAGTCAGAATTATCTTTGAAAATCTCTTAAATAGCCCATAAAATACATGATTTTGTATATACCCTGCAGTGTGTATGTATACAATAGAGTACATATACAAGTAAAATGTACAGTAATGTCATGTTCAATTACATAAAAGAGAGAGAGACTGAGATGAAAAATGAGGGAATAAAAAAGGAAAAGAGTAAACCTGAACAACTCACCATTCATCCTGGATATTACCGTAATTAGTCTTCCTCTTTCCCCGCCAAAAGAACTTTTTCAAAATTTATTTACTGACAAGCACGTATGGTTGAATTCGCGTCAGTTCAATGCGTCTATGATGCGACTTCACTATATAAATTCTAACATCCTGTGGGAACATCCCACATACTATCACGCTGTTTCGCCGATCAACGGACAACACTCCTCCTAAGTCAATACCACATTGAAAAGACAACGGTTGGCGTCCTTGCGGCGACTATAGAGCACTCAACGCCCGGACAATCCCTGACCGCTACCCAGTCCCGCATATCCATGACTACTCACATCACCTCCATGGCTGTACCATTTTCTCCAAAATAGACCTGGTATGAGCCTACAACCAAATTCCCGTCCATCCCGGAGACACCCAGAAGACGGCCATTACCACTCCTTTCGGCCTGTTCGAGTTCCATTTCATGTCCTTCGGCCTGCGCAATGCTGCCCAAACCTTCCAGTGGTTTATGGACAACGTTCTGCGGGGACTCGACTTCTGTTTCGCGTACCTGGACGATATCCTCGATTTCTCCCGATCACCAGAGGAGCACGAGATTCACCTGCGGGAACTCTTCCAGCAACTCCAGAAACACGGGATCACCCGAGGTCACCTTCCTCGGCTACAAGGTGTCCGCCGAGGGGTCCAAACTTCTGGCAGAGCGAGTGACTCATCTGCAGCACTGCCACCCACCAAAGACCGTCAGCCAGCTCCGTCGTTTCCTGGGCATGGTTAACTTCTACCGGCGATTTCTGCCCCACGCGGCTGTCACCCAAGCACTACTGCACGACGTTCTCTCCGGCCCCAGATTCAAGGGTTCCCACCCCATCTCCCGGACACCGGAGCTCCTGAAGGCATTTGAAGAGTGCAAGGCGAGTTTGTCACGCGCCTCTCTGCTCGCACACCCTGACCCATCCGCGCCACTCGCACTCGTCACGGATGCCTCCACGTCCGCCATGGGTGCCGTGCTGCAGCAAGTCAACAACGTCTGGCAGCCCCTCGCCTTTTTCTCGAAAAAACTTAACCCTGTCCAGCAAAAGCACAGTGCCTACGACCGCGAGCTGCTGGCCATCTACGAGGCCGTCAAACATTTCCGGCATATGCTGGAAGCGCGCCACTTCACCATCTTCACTGACCACAAGCCCATTACTTACGTCTTCCAGCAGAAGCGGGACAAATGTTCATCGCTGCAGTTCAATCATCTGGACTTCGGCGCCCAGTTTACAAANAGCAGAAGCGGAACAAATATTCACCGCGGCAGTTCAATCATCTGGACTTCGTGCCCAGGTTAAAACAGATATTAAACACATTTCGGGCCAGGACAACGTAGTCGACGACGACTTCTCTCGCGTCGAGTCTGTCACGGCACCACCATCATACGACTCACTGGCCGGATCGCAGGACGACGACGCCGAACTCCAAGCTCTCCTGGGGTCAACCACAGCCCTAAGAATCGAGAAACTACCGATACCCGGCACTACGGTATCCCTCTATTGCGACACCTTCGCCAGGAAACCTCGACCGTACATTCCAGCCCCTCTACGACCCCAAGTGTTCAGGTCTTTACATGAGCTGTCTCACGCAGGCGCCAGAGCAACAGTGAGGCTGGTCGCAGAGTGGTTTGTGTGGCCGGGCGTGCGGAAGGATTGCCGCACCTGGGCCCGGGCTTGTCAGTCCTGCCAGCGGGCCAAGGTCTCCCACCACACTGTGACTCCATTGGGCGACATCAATCAACGGTACAGGTTTTGTAACAGTTGATGGGATAATTATGACAATGAAGGTTCAAAATCTATTTTAAGGTAACCTAAGAGCCCTTGCTTAGAAGAACTGCAAGAAATGATGAAACATCTTGGTGAAGACTGCAAGCTCCCTACAGAGCAGAAGTACTTACCAGTACCAGTACTTCTTTTAGAAGGCAGTTTCTGCGTAAAACAACATTATGATAAATTAAATTACGAGAAAAATCTGGCAGTGTAAAAATGTGCAACAATGATTCATGAGTCTTGATATCCATTTTCCTTTGAAAGTTTGTATGTATTTACAGCATATTGTGTAATACCCAACAGAGTCTTTGCTTCATGCAATTTTCCATTACTATTGGTTTAAAACATATCTAAGTTGTCAGACATAACCTCCAAGTTTTGTACAATTACAACAAAGACAAATGATTGAAGTATGTTACATAAAGTTTGTGATTACATTTATATCTCTTAGCCTAACATTCCTAGCAACAGCAGTGCAATATCACCACCTAATGGGAAAGGAAAAGTAAGGAATTTTGTATAACAGAAGCTGACACTTATTCCTATTAAAACTTATGACTTTTTTATTTACTTATCATCCATCAATAACAGAATACAGCAAAGTGGTCAAAACTGTATTAACTCTCACAACTGATTACAAGATAGACATGGGTACAAGCGCAAATTGTATCAACTATATCACGCGTTTACTGTTGAAGAAACCCAAATTTGACCAATGAGAGGAATGAACTTGCACAGTTATAATTTATTTCCTGCCACAATTTTATAATTCTTTATTAGAAATATGGGAAATAACACTCTACTTCTGCCCAGCAACTCATAATGGATGGAGCATACAGATGCTACCATACTTCTAGAGCCTATGCTCCACATGTCTTGTGTGGACCTTTCTGAGTCATATTAATTTTGTCTCCAAGGCTCAATGCCATGCCCTGAAAGTGAAACAAAATTATATTACTTTAAAAACAAGTTTCAGCCATTTAGTAGCTGTACACATCTGTTCTACACTGAGCCACAGTGTTTAAAGAATTTACATGACCAACACCTCATAATTTCACTTGAATAGGCATGTGTGAGAATGCCATCTCCAGTCTGAAACAAGAACAAGAATATACACTCAACTCTTGATTTTCCAGGGGCGGATAAACCAGTCTGTGGCTTAACTGCGGCACTGGGGCTTTTTTGAGGCTTACATGTTGTTTAATATTCATTCACTTTTGTTTCATATGGTGAGTTGTAACACTATTTTCGCACTAGTGTGAACCGAGCTCTGCATTTTTTGGTCCCCTTATGCTAACACAGTGTTCTAGGGTAGGGGTGAAAGAATGCAAGGATTTGTGGAAAGTTTCAAGGACAGATACACCGCCCCAGTTGGTCTCTTTGTATCAATCTTCAAGTGCGTTAGCAAAATGTCAGGTTGTAAAAGGAAGCGTGTTGTGTTAAGTATTCAACAGAAACTCATGTGAGCCGGGCTTCGAAATGTTAAGCAGTGACGAAACCATAAGTTCAGTGGGGGTGCAGCCAGAAGAGCGGGAAGAAAGTGAGAATGAGGAAGAGGTGGACAGTGCTGCTAGTAAGAAAATATCACATGGTGCTGCTCTTAATCATTTGGAATCCTTACTAGACTATCTGGAGAGTGAAGAGAACAGTTTATTAAGTGACAAGCTAATATTACGTAGGCTTCGTACAGATATCCGTAAAAAGGAAAATGCTGCGAAAAAGCAAACAACAATATTAAATTTTTTTAAGTGTTAAGTGTGAATATTCATAAAAAGTGTTGGACGTTGTTCAACACTCTGATTGAAATAACTAATTCATACTTCAGTGTAATGTAAAAAAAGTATTAAATAGGCCATGAGATGACATAAAAATGAGGTTGAATAAATTTAAATACAGGTAGGCCTATAGTATTATGAAGGTACAGTATTACAGTACTACTTTTAATAAAATTTGTCTTAGCCGGGTTTTCAATTAATTGTGATTTCCATCCCCACCATTATCCCGGAAAATTGAGAGTTGAGTGTATTCCACTTGAACAACAATTTCACTGCAATCACAATTTATAACACTCGTTACTTTTTATCATACACACTTCTGATAGTTATTTTTGACAAAAATTCACACATCACTCAGTTAAAATTACCATTCTAGGGTCTTGTCCTTTTTCATCATGGTCAGAAACAGGCTGACAGGGACAGATTTCATCTGCTAGCAATGCAAAAATTATAATTCTGATTATGCTAATTTGCATGCAGTTATATGTCAATTCTCTTAGCTCAAGATTGAAATATCAATGTTGCAATTAATATAAAGATTTATTTTTTGGTATCCATGAGATAAGTGGCTGGAGGGACTCTAGAGCTGGTATGGTCACAGAGGAGAAGATAAAAATTCCTTGCTAGGAACTGAGTTCTGATTCCTCAGTTGTCCAGTCCACAGCCTGGTCAGCATACAGGCTCCTACTGTATTGCAGTAATAGATGACAATTTCAATCAGGATGAAACTAGTACTTGCATAGTGCTTATAATTCGGTTTAACATTACCAGTTACCATTTTTTATGACAGTCTTTCATGGGTGATTTAATAATGATTTTTCTATTGAACAGGTTATGGAGCATCAAATGGTAGGATGATTATGTTTTAAAATAGATGTGGAAGGAGCCAGTCACAACCTATTTAAGATACTTAATACTTGACTGCGGGAACCATGGCAGATCTCAGACAGAATGGTAAGTCTTTGGCCAAGATTTAACACAGGACCTAGTAAATATGAAACACAAGTACTAACCATTTAACCACATGTTACAACAGAAAACATGCCATTACTCACTTGACTTTTGGCCCTAATACGAATATGACCTGTCACAGGCGCATCCGGCTTGTTGAATGGTTTCTCTATGCTCAGGTTTGCAAGAGCGTTTTCACCAAAGATAGAGCGAGCATACATGTTCGCAGCCATGAAGCCACACTGACCAGACAGGGCCTGCACAAAATTACATCAATTAAATTATGCAGTACAAATCACATAATTAATTCTTATAAAACATCACTCCTACACTTTTAACTTCCCTACTGGTAGCTCCCTGTTACCTTTTCTGGAGTCAAGCACTTCATATTTGTGCTGCTTATCAAATGACGAAGGTACTCATGAAGATCTGTCAAATTTGTATTGACAGAAACCTATTTAAAAACAAGAGTATAAAATTAACACACATAATCGCTCATCACAACCATATTATTCATTATAAATTAACCCTCTGACTGCCAAACTTTGTTATAGAACTACCTGCTAAAAGTTTCACAGGAAAAAAGAACATACATATTCTTTATTCAAATGATGTACAAATAGGCTGCGAGGTGAACATAATGTGAAAGACTGCACTTCCTGCTAACATCTGTATGTCACATTTTATGTTGCCTACTAAGAGAAATGTTGTTCTGACTGATTTACAATCAATCTCTTTCACTGCAATGGTTTTAATGCATAAGTTCATGGTTTGAGGAAGGTTAAGCAAATCCATATTAAAGCAACTATACTTGTAAACAATCCTTATGTAAGTTTAAATTATCTTATGTTGCAAATTATACTAAACACAGAGGGGCCCAAAAAATGTATACACCGATGTACAAAATATTGGTTTAAATAATTTACTGGTAATTAAAATTTGATACACACAGAAATGGATGGTTGCAACATATATGGAACTTGAACAAGTGTTCAAAGTGCCCACCATTTGTTTGTCGACACTTCTGAGTTTGGTGGACTAGTGTACCAGCAACTGTGGTTAAGGTGTCAACCAGGATAGCGGCACACAACTTTTCAATTTCTTCCCAACATGTCTTCAGTGTCGGTGGTTTTCTACGATATATCACATCCTTCACGGACCCCCCCCAAGTAAAAGTCGAGGTGGGTTAAATCAGGTGATGTGGGGATACTCAACACTACCTCTTCGTGACTTCTGACATCTTGGTGGTAGTGTGGTGGTGCACCATCTTGTTGAAAGTAAAATGGCTTGCTCCTGTAGAGCTGATGAATGGCAGGTAAAATGGATGTCTGAAGCATGTTCAGGTACACAGGGCCAGTAACTGTTCCTTCACACAAGAACAGTCGAATCAAACCCATGTATGACAGCCCACACCAAACAGTGAGTCCTGATAAACTGACCACCCTGTTCACATGAATGAGTGGACTTTNAGACGATTTAAATACCTGACGAAACATACACGTCAAACCATGCCAATGGGTTAAATGTTGTTCATCAGACCAAACAATTTTGCTCAATAACTCCTCATCCTCCTGTATCTTGTGTTGAAGCCACTCACAAAACTGCACTATTTGATCAGGATTGTCTTCATTTATAGCATTATCTCAACCTTAGGATATTAACTTTCAATTTAACACATTTTAGAATGTGTTTACACTTGATCTGCTAATTCCTGTCTCACATACACATTGCTTTGCAGACCTCTGCAGTGAATCCTACATCACAGCAGAAGAGGCTGGACTTGTAACTGGGCACAAACTCCCAGATCTTTGCTTGTGCACATCATGCACTGTAGCACTTGCCTCAAATTTGTCACAAATGTATGAACTGTTAATTATGTTGGAGGGTCTGTTGCAAATTCAGTTCCTCACTATCTTTCTATTTCACACCCATTTTCAAATTTCCAGTACCACTTCAAAATTATCTTACACTGTTGAAATGACAACAGTCCTGCTGCCATTTTCTATGACTTCTGTCATTCGATAAGGTGACTCTGGCATTCATGTCAGTAGCACCATCTTTTGAGAGAACATCACAATACACACTGTACATAACATTTTGGTTCAACCTTGAAAATATTTGTAGATAACATATATCAAAGTGTGTATCCATTCTTTTGGGCCCCTGTGTGTTGTAAGTATCATAAAGAATACTATATAGATCTCATGAGTATGACAAACTCTAACTGCAATACAGAAGAACAAAGCCATTTTAATACACTTAAAATATATCTCACTAAATAAAATATAATTAAATAAATTCATTAGTATGAGGTTCTTATAAGCTGACTCTTCTCATTAAGGATTTAATTCAACATACTATAATAAGCTGACTCTTCTCATTAAGGATTTAATTCAACATACTATTTATAAATAACTTACCTTATTCTCCCATTCAAACTCAGCCCACATCTGTCTGAACTCAGTGTCATTGCATGATGCAGGAACAATGTAATCCATTATATCAATATGAATATCATTGAGCACCACGACATTGCGATCTGATGCAGCACCACTCACATCATATACTGCAATGAAACAATATATCCAGTATTGCTGCAGGTCTTATAAGAAACTAATGTATTCAGCAGCACAGATATGAGAACAGGGAAATTTTATGCTACAACTATACATCACTAAACCCACACAGAATGCTCGTAACTGCATCACTTCTGAGGTTGTTTGGTGGGAAGGCTTTCCTAAAATAAACTGATACATGCAGACTTACATCATTAAAAAAAAAAGGATGAATCAAGGAAAATAAAAGCATCAACCTCCAACCTAATTCACTACCATCAGTATTACCAGCATGGCAGCTGTATTTGAGAGTGCAGAAACACTTAATGCAGTATCTTGCAAATGTATTTTCTTTCTTGCTTTTCTGTGACAATAAAAGGTAAAGGTAAAGTTGTCCCTGTGCTTAACTAATTAAGCGCTATGAAGGCGTATAGGGGAGTTTTCTTGACTTCAGCACTAGTCAGAGGTGAGTGGTCGCTTCTCCTATTTGTTGTTTACAACAAAGATAAATTCAAATTAAATTCTGATGTCTATAACATGAATACTAGACAAAAATATAACTTCCACCTACCCTCATCAACTTTATCAGTATATCAAAAAGGAGTCTACTTTACTGGCATAAAAGTGTTCAACAATCTGCCACAAAGTATTAAAAACTTGGGCAATGATACTAAAAAGTTTAAATCAGAGTTAAAGAATTATCTACATGCTCATTCCTTCTACTCTTTAGATGAATACTTCAATGTAAATAGAGAATGATGTAAAATTAAGTTATATTAATTTTTAAGCTAAAATTGCCTGTACTTATGTATGTAACCTTTTGACTTGTTCTGTATCCAAAGGTACTAACCTGCTTAGGATTTATAGAATGTAAATAAATTCAATTCAATTCAATTCATGCCCTGGCAGCTTTACCCCTGGGGAATGAGACCCAAGTTCTCATTAGATAGGAGGCTGGATGGGCCCCAGAGCTGGTCTGGAGGGCATGGAGAAGAAAGAATTCTTGACCTTACCAAAACTTGAACTCAGGACCCCTGCTCATCCAGTCTATAGCCAGTCACTATACCAACTGTGCTTTCCTGGTTACTTTCTGTGACAGTTCCTTTGGAATGTAGGATTTACACATAAAATTTACATGGAACAACAGGAAACAGAATAGTGAAATAACAGCGCTCACCAATATTACCGAAGATGATGCCATTTTCTGTGGACGCAACCTTCACATTGGCCTTAATATTGCAGAAGTCGTGAGGAGCCAAGACGACAGGCTGTGGTTTTTCTACTAGCTTCAAGTCTCCCAAGGTAGCCAGCTCGAGTGTGCAATTTTGTAATGTGTCACCTGAATTGTGATAACATACTTCAATAATGCATTACAAATACCTTACATCATGGGTAAAAGAAAATTAATGAAAGAAAAAAACATGTCACAATTAACACAAATAGTTAAGATAAATTCAACAAACTGAAAAAATAAAATCTCACAAAGAAAGGGTCTTAAATATGTGTATACTTTCTGGTCTGACAACTTCATGTTTTAAAATGCATAAACTTTCCTCATATTCTTCTAACAGAGCAGCAATTCAACAAGTATTTAAAACTGACATAAATTTCAAGATTATATACATGAATAATCATTAAGTAGTCAAAAAAGATATAACACATGGCTACTGTTAATGACTGTTTCTTTTAATGAAACACTTCAAACTTTCTGAACACTGATGAATACATGTCTCATGGGTGCCATTAAATCTCAGACTCACCTTCCCTAATCTTAACTTAGTATTACATTATAATATTACACTCATTTCTTTACCTGTCTGATTTACAATGAGAACATCCAGAACAATGTCATATTGGTTGACATGAACATAGGCTTCAGCATAGACTGGATCTGAGAAGCCAGTGAGTTGAGTGACCTTGTTCAGCTTGCTCAATCCCGGTGTTGATTCTCCACCTCCCAGCCCTGAACAAATTCCATCTCGCCGACCCACTACGGCCTGATTAAGACTTAACTCAAACACATTCTCAGTGCCACCCAGGTCACCTGCACCCCGAGATGAGGACAGCTGAAGGAATGATATTGGTTCGTCTGCATGTATCACTGACCCAGGCTTCTCTTTGGCCTGAATAAAACACAGCAAAGCTTTCTCAAAACAGTAAGAAACAGAACACATTTTTTTAAGTTTAATGCAAGGTGCTTGTGAGAGATAAAATTCCAAATCCACAACCAATCACAGAGACTGTAGAGTTCGCACAGCTAACTAAAAGATGTTTCTGATTTCAACACACTTTCAGTATAGGTACCCAACACACAATCTGGATCACAGCAGAATATTTTTCTCAGATGCAACAATTTTAGTTTCATTGAATTTAAGATTTTTTGCCATCAATATAATATGTATATAAACTTAGTTACTTAATTTTAGGTATCATGTGAAAATGCATCATGGATTACATACTTTCTGTGTAGAAGCCTCCTCTTCTGCTTTGGCAGCAAGCATAATGGACAGGGCACAACGACAGTTCTCATTAAAGATTTTTACAATGACTGGGGACTTATCAGATAGCACTTGAAGACACAAATACAAGCGATCGGCATCATCATTTGTCATATTTTTGACAGCCAAACCTGTATAAATAAATGTAACATAATTAGATATCATCTGAGAATGCATGATTTGAAATCTCCATGTTCTATGGGGACAGCAATCAAACTTTAACTCAGGGGTAACTGTTTATCATTCAGGAAATAACAAAAATTAATTTTTAATAACTTAATACATGAATACCCTGAAGATGGCCAAAGAAGGCTGATAAATACAACGATGTTGCACCTGACTGCTAGTGCGAAAGGTAAAGTGTAAAGCTGTCCCTGTGCTTAACTAATTAAGCACTACGCCATGAAGGCATATGGAGGGACGGATGTATAGATTCACATTTTCTTGACCTCGGCGCTAGCTAATGTAATTAACTAATTTTTTTAAATTCGCTTAATGAGTCCAACTGGGTCCACTCGGCATGGCGGCCACTGATTGGCCTATTGTAGCCTGCCCTGTGTGATTATGATGATGGAGAATTTTGTGGAATGAAGATTGACAGGGGAAACCTAAGTACTTGGAGATAACCCGCCCCAGAGCCACTTTGTCCACCACAAATCCCACTTGACCAGACACAGGATCGAACCCGGGCTGCTGCAGTGGGAAGCCAGCAACTAACTGCTTGAGCTACAGCGCGGCCTAGCAGCTAATGTAAGGCTGTACCCTTATATTCATACTGCATATGTGATAAAAAAAAGTGACAATGTAATAAAAATAAACATGAAAATTTAAATCAGTATGGACAGCAAAACACTAATTACATTACCTGAACAATTCTCCTAATCCCTTCCAATCACAAGGAAAATGTAAGTATTTACCTGATTTCCCTAGGTGTAAAATGGATGCCATAATAAGCATTGCTTCAGAACAAAAACGATTTTGCTTTTTGCCATCTGGTGTTAGTGACATGTATCGGAGAGCAAGCTTGGCTAGAGTAGTACCAAGAGCAGCTCCAATAAAGAAATCACCATCCATCATGTACTGACGCAATGGAGGGCGGGCTTCCCCTTTCTTGGAGATACTGAGGGACAAAGAGACAGTCATTTCATTGTTAGGTTCATACAGAAACAAGATACAGAACAGGAAGATCCCACACAAAAACACTGCCAAAAGATGTCCAAGTTTGTGGACTGTTATAAAACAGGATATTATTAAAATTTAAGGATAAATGATCTGAATCCCAAACTTAGGAAAAATAGAAGAGGCACAATGTAACAGGGCAAAACACTACCTGGCGGTATTGAAAGCTGACTGGGTAGCATATGTTCCATCTGAAGTGACTAATTTCTGTATTGGAACCTGTTGCTGTATTCCATCTTCATCTGCCTTCTCACCAGCTGCAAGACGGAGCTCATCATCCACTAATGGAATCTAACAGATTAAAATAAAACCAGTTAAAAATGCTCCAGATATATATGAACTATATAACTAATTTCTATTAATATACATTTTACAGATTTTCACACATCACATTTCTTTGTGTTATGAAGCTGAGCAACATAAAGTAAAGTCAGAGAACATAAATTGGCTGGGAAGATGAATGGCAACTGAGAAATGCTTATACCACATAAATGTTATACTGTGGTACTGTGAATCAACAGGATACAGAATGAATCAGAAGACTGCTATGGTTCATACTTAGGTCTCTCAATCTGTATTGGTGGCACCACTGAAGGCAACAGTGACAAGAAGAGGCACACCGTACCATTTTCTTGGCAGGTAACAAGTAATGTAGCAATGTCTCTCAGATTTTTCAGTGAATCTGAATGAGAACTTTGCTAGCTATATAATAAATAGATTGACATGATAGAGAAAATAAAATCATTTCATTGTCAAAAATATTATTAATTACTACCTCCCCAAGAGTTTGCCGCACTTGATTCATAACAGCCTGGATATCATCAGGACTAGAAGCATACTCTCCAAGAATCCATAATGCTGCACGATGAACCTTAACAGACTTAACTGCTGGGAAAGCATCCAGGAGTCTCTGTAAATTTGTGTCATACATAATACTTGAAAGTACAAAATTTAATCGGAATTTCATTCTGGCAAACAAATATTTTGGAATCAAAAATACATAATTTAAAAGGCAACATACCTCTATTATTAGAGGTCGGAGTCCTTCAAACTTCTGAATTGCTTCACGTACAAATACCAAAACATCAGATGCTGCAAGCTCATTTGTATCAGAAAGGAATTCAATCAGAACAGGAATTACAGTTGCTGCCACATCTGGAAACTATAAAAGTAAAATATAACGGGTAAACCTCCAGATTATTATGTTATACAAGGTGCTATGGTAAGTTCCTGGACTAGGTCAATAAAGAAATGCTGGCTTAACTTACTGACTTTTGGCTGTCATCTCCTTCAAAATAATCTCCTTGGGAATATACACAGCAATCCCATTATTTGCACTGTGGAAGTCGTTTTCCTTAATGCTGTTAAGTACTGTTTGTGATTCCCTTTGGATGCGAGACACCGTTTCAAAACGTCATTCCTTCAGTTTCATTTTCAAATTGGGAAGAAAAACGAAATCACAGGGGCTAAGTCTGGCAAGTAGGGAGGATGGGGAACGATATCCATATTGTTGTTAGTCACAAACTCTGTCGTTTTCAGGGAAGTATGTGCAGTTTCAATGGTGCTTGGTCACCTTGAATGTCTGTCATCTTAAGCTGACACTCGACCAGCCTTAAAAACGTGAATGTTATTCAAAAAACCGCTGTCCTGCGTAAAGAAAGTTCTCCAAAAGCCTCACAAAACATTTCAAGGGTTTTGCTAGTGGATTTAATGAGCGTCATGCAAAACTTGATGCAGACACATGGCTCAATTTTGCCATCCATTGAGAACAAAACAAAACACAAAGTTGAAAAAGCACTTATGTAAAAGCAATGTGTGTTCACAGCAGGGTGTCATGTGGCAGGCTGATACAATAGGCTTGCAGAAGTGTGACCTTGGCCTCCCCTCTCATCTTCTTTCACCAAGGTAGTTACAACAATAACAGTCCGGAAACTTTCTGATACACCTTGTACATAAATTCAAACACATTCACTAAAATGTTCTGTTCTGTGTTCAGGGATAGGCATAAAAGTGATGAAGGAGAACTAACCTTAATGCAGCAACTGTGTAGAGTTCGAACCAGCAGCTGACGATATTTTCCAGTATCTTCATGCTCCACAATATTGTGTGTCTTAGCGACCTCTTTCTTTAGAACCAAAACCATCTCTTCAATATTTCGGGATGATACCAACTCCATTGCTGTAATATGTAAACATACTGTATGTATTAAGGGAAAACGACTCCACTCTACAGTCTAACCAAACCTTCACACTCAGTATGTTATGCTTCTCACTTGTATCTGGGAAGTGCTTGTTTCGAATCTTGTCAGGGTACTAACTGAGAGGTTTCATGGTTTCCCCATCCTCTCCAAGCATATTCTGGGACAGTACCTTGAAAGAGGCCAGGGCTACTTGCTTCCACTTACTCTCAGTTCATTGTAATTAATCATCTTCCCATTAAACTCTATACAATCTGAGCCCATTTTCACTTAGTGGGGGGTGGAGTCCAACTGGGTCCACTCGGTACAGTGGCCACTTACTGGCCTATTGTACCCTGTCTCAAGTGATTACGATGATGGAGAATTTGGTGGAATGAAGATTGGCAGGGGAAACTGAAGTACTTGGAGAAAACCCACCCCAGTGCCACTTTCTCCACCACAAATCCCACTTGACCAGACCCGGGATCGAACCCGGGCCGCCGCGGTGGGAAGCCAGTGACTAACCACTTGAGCTCTGAGCCCCTTAATTATCGCTAAATAAATCACAAATAAAATAAAGAAATTAATTAAATCTTCAATACTGTGGGGCATTTACACATGAATCTCCAGTGAGGATGAATGACATTTAAAACTGAGAACAAAAATTTAAAGAATTTAATGTTAATTACTGTTTATCGCATACTAAACTTTTACATTTATTTTTTCAAAGTTTCAAGTTATGTTCTGAGTGCTTATTGGAATTATACCAATGTCTCCACACAATTTCAAAAAGTAATGTTTGTAAACTAAACTCTAAAACATTTTGAACTGGCATAAAGTTGACAACTGATCTTCAGCCAATGTGGAGGTTAAGACTGGTACAGCTATACTTCCATTCTTCCAAAATTCTTCACGGTTGAACCTGTCTTAATTAAGTACAGGGACAATTTTACCTCACCTCAACATCTCAAATTAACTGTATTTTATGAGCATGCACTGAGATTGGGGTGCATTCAATGTAGAGGCCAAAATTACGTTTCTAAGACCAACAGCAAAGCACTGTGTACCACCATACAAACTCCCTTTTAGTGAAATGGAGGGTATCTGAAAGTGCTTAACACTATTTGAAGTATATCCTAAAGCTCAGAACAGATATAACAGAAAGAAAAAATATCTGATGTGCATACACTGCAATACTTAACTGCTGTACAGTTCAAATTTTCAAAGAATTATGTTAACACATTATTCTAGGATATGATGGGACCACCTACAGGACAGACCTTGCCTGCGAGTTACGAACTGCTCCTCTGAACATGTGATAAGCCAGCTTCTGCACATTTAGAGTTAATACTAACTCACCCAAGTTCAAAGTTTTCTTCCGAACTTCAAGGTCAGGACTGGCCAGAACTCGAAGTATATCCATAACAAGGTCTTGCAAGACTCGTTCATGTGTGGGATGTTCCTTTAGTGCAATAAGGCGGTCTAATACTATCAGTTTTACATTGTTGTCACTTTCCTTGACAATGAGTTCAATGTAGCAGGAAGCAGCTGCCTACAAACAAGAACACATGCTTGTGGTAATGATGAGCACAAGCAGGCCATAAATATTGTTTGAAGTCTGATTTTCAATTAAGATCAAATTAATGTTTTCACTGACCTTTCTTCTTTTACATTATGCTACTGGATTGTGGAATATGCTAAATGAAACAATGCAAAATGCTATGTAAAAAAAAAACCCTTTAAGAAAAAGAAGGGTTGAAACATACAATCATTGAGTGCAGGCCTAAAATTCTGACTGGCAAATAATTTTCCATGCATTTATTGATTCCTGATCTTCATCCTCTTATCTCAAGAAACTGAAGTGCACTATCATGTACTAAATACTTGCAATACAGCTGCCTGAACAATTATAATGAAACCTTCTCAAGATTGTTTTTTAATTAAAACAAATTTAGCTTATTAACCTTTAACATACAAATGTTAGATATATCTGACAGCAAGTAATGCTCTGCTGTGGCCTGAATGTGAGGTTTATTTAACGTGCACTCTTTGGGAGTGCTGACAGTTTGATCTTCGGTTGAAACCACAACAAACCCATGCAAGGTCAAGTAGGCGGTTCATTCGTTAGCTCTGAACAATGAAATCATTTATCACAGTACTGGTTTCGATATTATTTACATTTAGATATGACTGTTTATGACGGGTCAGCCAAATAGAGCACAGCTTTGTTTTGAGAACTGAGAAGTAAATATTCATCTCAGCATTCATATTTGTGCTTCTTGAGCTTGCAAGTAAGTGGTTCATTTTCAAGGATTTGTTTTCAGTGGAGAATTATCAGTCAGAAAGTCAGTGTCAGACTGTCAATTACTTATTTATAAAACATTTTTATTTTGTGTCTTGGTAGAGTTATAAAGCCACTGAAGACAACAATGCACATATGGGCTCTGTGGATAAATGTGACAGGATGGTAAATAGTTACAGAATTGCCTGGAAGACATTGAAATCGACAAAGAAATTGTTTTCCCACCTTCTAGACTTGTGGACTATTCTCAATGCCTATTTATTGCACAAGTCATGTGGTGGAAAAATGACACATAAAAATTCCACAAAATCCTAGTGCAAGATCTGACTGGACAGTCGCATGAGGCAAATATCACAGTCAGTGGCGTTTCCTGGGGGAGGTCAAGTTCACCTGGGGCCCAAGTGAGTC